AATCTTGGGCAACCGGATAATTGTAACTAAAGTGTTGGCCGTTTAGTGTAAATTCAGTTCCTAGTAAGCTTGAATTAGTAAATTGGTGGGCCTTCAGCACGACCTGTAGTTTAACGCAGTCGCTATCTGGTCCATTGCGTAAAAGAAATTACGCCGTGGCCATCTATAGTCGTACAAACAAGCAAGACACACGCGAGGCCATAGCACTCACGTTTAGTTTGCCCAAATTTTAGCAAGCGCTCCATAGCGCTCATCAGATGATCATCGAATGAACAAGTGACAGGTATGTCGACTGTTTGTCTGTCCCAGCTGACTTGTGGCTCGTATTTTCTAAGCCACAGCAGTGCAGGATAATATCAAATTTGTCATTTAAGTTAAATAAAATTAAGTAAGCATTGTGTGGGACTCCCTTCAGTGTACAGGTAATACCCCACAACACGTTTCATCACTGCTATGGATGCACCTCTCGCGACGCGCACCTTCATTCTTGCTATTGGGATCTCGCGCTCGATATATGCAAGCTCTATGTTATCTAGCAATTGGAGTTGTACAACGTTCTTCGACACCTCAAAAACGACTAGGGCTCAAAGTGACATGTCCTTTGCCACTTCGAGTCTCAAGTTAATGAGGGAATCCTCATTACCGGATGAAGTAACACACAACGCTTGCATGTTTGAAGTAGTTCTTGTCGGTAGGCCTGCAAATTCACTTAGCGTTGCTGAAATAGGTATGGTTCCCCAAACCTACTGAACCTAAACGTATTTTGGTCGTCCGTTACAATGTTGCCTTTTCGCAACTGTGCCAGACCTACGACTTGAAGCCTTTTTGTCCACTTGACAGTAGCTGTTTCTCGTAGTTCGTGGTACTTCTCTCGGAGCACTGCATTCTTATGCAAAATTTCCTGGCTTTTTACACCCATTGCATGTCTGTAATTTATTATAATCAATAGTGCAAGAGCTTTCACTCTCAGCGTAGCAAAGGTTCTTCATTTCTGGACCTCCGCTTTCCTGTTGCCTCAGTAAAAGATAGAAGTTTGAGCTTAAATGAAATTTTTTACGCTAAATACTTTGTTTCCCAACTCGGATTGCCTCTTGCATGGCATCAAATTCAAATGGAATGCAATAGGTCCAGTTTGGACCGTCTGTGAGACCCTGCGTAAACAGCGTGATCACCGTTTGTTCATTCGGCGGATTAAATGTGATGCGATGCAACTTGTAAGATGACGTATTTACTGAATGTACGGGTGTGCATCACTTTGCCTGGTTTAAGTTTTACCAGTTGCAAGCCCTGAACTCAGCTCGCGGTGGTTTGAAGTTTAGCCTAAGCAGGGACTTGAAGACTATATACGATACAGCGACAATTGATTCGTTTGGCTTAAAACACAAGGCTCAAGTCTTCGCACGCCATGCCGACAATGTGGCAAGCCCTAATGGCGTCATTTAGCTTTAAAACAATATCAACATCCAATCTTCTCTAGCTGCTTCATATTCTGAGATGTCAATTTTTCGTGATTCGGGTCAACGTGTGTGTGTCTTTCCGCTAGCAGTAGCCTGCTACTGCCTCAAAAAGCTCAAACATCTGAGCACTCTGTCCCCTCAACAGTTTTGTCCATTTAGACCCTTGTTGTTGAATCAAGACTACCTTACTACAATCAGCGTCAAGTTCATTTTGAATGAACATAGTAGTAGTGGCATGCTGCCCGTCTGCACCCAGTGCGGACAGCATTGCACCTTCGGCTTCTTTCTCTATCTTCGAGCTCAATCTTTCGACGTCATCTCATCTGATTTGACTCAAATCGGAGTAGCTCTCGTGCGTTAAATAAAGTATTCTGCTTCATTATCCAACATGTTAATAGTCGTTGGACGGACTACAAAGTGCTATCAGGTGTAACGGGGCAGTGGTACCTTGTACTGTCATAGTAAAAGCTACTTTAACTGACCACATAGCTAGGTGGTGCTACGAGACTTCACGTACACGCGTCACGTAGAGGAAGGGTATATTATGAGAAAAGGGTTAAAGGAGAACTGTATTCATTGTAGTTAATCTTCCTGAAATGATAGTCATATTTAGTCGACGTTTAACTACATGTTTATGTACAAAAATGCATTGTAACTATCCGCTCACCAAATGCTGCGTTTTTTTTATCTTGGGATAGCTTTTTTGAGTGGAATAATTAATCTATATAACTTTTGAGAAGTGTACTATTTTGGCAACAATAAATTGCCTTTTCAGCCAGTATTGTAGATATGTTTTGTTTGTCCAGACAGTATATTAGTACCTAACATATAGCTTGTGCAAACTATCATATAACGGAGGCAATTCGCTACATGTATCTAACACGTACTAATTGTTATCAAGTCTGTTACCTTCTTATAGGTGTATAGGTATGTTTAACGAAAATCTTAGGCCAGGTCACTTTCGTGATTTACGCAGGTGAATAAGAATGAAGTTGATAGTTAGTGAACATGATCACATACAAAATGCTTGACGCCCACAATAAATGCCCTGCCACGTTGCCGAAGTATACTGTACTCGTTTAAAGAATACATTAGTAACATCATAATCTTTCTTCAGTGTTTGCTGTTGCATCGCTTTTTACAACTTAAATCATTTCTTTGAATCGGATTACTTACATCGAGGGGCGAGCTGTAGAGCTTGTTCTTCTATCTGTACCTAGAGTCTCGCATACAACTTCCATCATTATGCATCCACGAGCCTCGGTGAATGCATATTTTTTTGTTCAAGCTCTATTTTTGTCCGCATTAACGCCATAATTGGGCTTTCGCCATCTTGAGCTACATAACGTTACTTTAATTGTATAAGCATGTACTACCTTGTCCTGCAACGCGGATGTGATCTTACGACAAGTGTGCAAAGCGGTCGCAAGGAAATTTACGGCTCACTTAGAGTAAGGGACTAGACGGTTCGCACACCTCAGCTAGGCCTTAAGCGTTATGATTGGTGGACACAAAATGGAACAGGTGGCTAGCAATAGTGCACCTAACCCCAGAGAGCAGACTCGATTTCTTTTGGGACAAGGGTAGATGACCGTTGGACCAGTTGGATCGCTCAATCCATCGCGAGACAACGCAAGGGAGAATTCGAGATCTCTTATCTAGGATTCGCGATTTTGACTTAGGGTCACGGTCCGGACCTAGGATCACGATCCGGACCCAGGATCACGATCCGAGGTCAAGTTATGGTAATATTTCGGGTAGACCACAAGAATGTTCGACTGCTAATACACCTGGTGTGGGCCACACCAGTACTAGAGGAGATATTTCTAAAACTGCGACGCGTGGCATCTAGTTAGGATATAAGGATAAGGCAGAGGGGTAAGTTATAGTTTGATTGGTTAGACTTAAAGAGAAGTCAGCTTATGTCAAAAGATGCACTCAATCTTTTCCGGTCAGGATCTTTAATCTCTTCCGGCCAGGATCTTTGGCCTCCCGACGAATAAGAGTCGCATTACTCGTCCATGTAAGCGTCGCACCTGGATCGTTTCGGCCAGGTGCGTTCAGGAATTATAAGGTAACTACAACTGCGTTTAAACGTAGGAAGACACGTAAAGGCAATGCATAAGATTGCGAGATGGCTCAAGTGGTCGATGCTCGGGTATCAAGTACCCTCACATTGGGCAAGGCAATCTCATTGAGAGCAGGGTAGCTTATAACAGTACCCCACCGACATCCCAGTGATCGCGCGAAGGTTTCCGCCTGATCATACAAAACCATCCTCAACACGATCAAGTTTTCCCACGACACGAGTCCACCTGGAAGAGTGCAATTCACCCTACCGATGGTCACACAGCGTGAGAAAAGCGATAATACACGAAATTGGAGTACCTCCTCCGTCAGTCGGTCGTCTGGGCGGTAGTGGAGACTCGGGATCGTCTCAAGAATTGAGTGATCACCACTCCACTACGCAAGTAATGGTCTTAAGCTAGATGTCGTGTATCGATTAGCTGATGCAAAAGAAAACTTTATGTATCCGGTACTGGTCTAGTCATAACGCAAAATTTACTTCGTTCTCCTCGTCGAATCAAAAAAAGAAAGCGCCAGCACTTGGGTCTATCGCGCGTTCGTGCGTTTTCCACCCGTAGTCTACTAAACACATTTGTGAAACGTTATACCTGCAATATTCCATTGTGTCATCTAAAGACACATCCAGTTGTAAAACACAGTAACGTTTTTTCTATTTATGTTAATTCTCCATAAATTTAAATTATAGGAACGAGTTTGCCCTTACCGGTTGCTCCAAAATATTCAATTACTTTTTACTTTATTGGTTCTAAGAGCGCCTGAAGCAGAAAATTATTCTCACTACTCCAGACAAATGTTAAAAGCCTAATTTTCTGCACCAATGAAAGATCACGCTTATATTCTATAAAACTTACATTTAAAAAACTTCACAGCAGTCACAATGTGTAAAGGGGCACCCTGAAGCTTGTACTGGTGACAGTACAAGCTACTTATAATGAAGACAGAATAAGGCTGTGCCTCGGAACTTCACGTACACTGGTACGTGCAGAGGAAGACGGTAAGAAGAAGCGAGTACTTGGTTAAAGTAAAAAGTAGAACTGTATTTATAATAGTTAATGTCTGCAATAAATCACTATTTGTCCTCGTCTAACTATGTCTAAATACAAATGTGTAAATCAATTATCTGCTCTCCACTCATTGCGTGCGTCTGTCGTGGCGCGTCTTCGTTGGTTGATTTAATGGCCTATATCAACCAATTAGGAACTACTCGAAAGTGCTGCAGAATATTTGTCCTTATGACAATATTCTGAGAATCTAACTCTTATAGATATATTCTATTAACAATTTCTTTTAAATTGTTATGTAACGATTCACCCCGTTATATCACCCCCCTTAACCATCAGTCACTTTAGTGACTGATTGACTAAATGGATACTCGTCCCAAATCATTTGGGACAGGGTTCGCACTTGTTGGTCCGAGTCCACTTTCCAACATTTCATCGCATGGTTAACAAACCCATGCGATGCGCGAGCAAGGCCGCCGAGAGCGCGTCCGCACGTCTCTGTGCGGACGCCAAAGCAGAAACCGCAGCAACTGATGTCTCATCGGTTGCTGAAGCGACCCAGCCTGTGTCACTTGGTGATGCAGGCGCTGGTCATGAAGACACTCATGTCTTCACAGAGTATGAGCTCGGTGTCTCATACTCTCCTGATTCGGAAGACGGATCCGTATCGACGGCGATTGAATCTAAGCCGCCTGCCAAGCGTGGCATGGATGATGCTTTGCGTCGTAGCATCTTTGGTTCATCTGATTCGTCACATGAACCATCGCCAAAGCGAAGGCGCTCAAGATCGCGAGACTCGGGCGCTCACAGTGGTGTCGGTTCTCCTTTGGACACCACTTCGCAGCGAGGTGCCAGTACTTCTGACGACACATCGCAAGAAGAGCGGGAACGCAGTGTGTTGCGTCTCGCTCCCAAAAAGAAAGCACGGCTGCCTCCAAAGTCAGTCATGGATCGCTTGTCGGCGACGACAAGTGATCGCTATCGAACACGATTGTTCGATTCGTCAAGGATCCATCACCTTGACCCCAGCGCGAAAAACTATCGCGCTGAGAATGATTTCTTCATCGATGCTTTCTTTGAGCATCGGTGGCACATTGGGAATCACGTGATGGTCCCTCACTGCTTTAAGCGTGGAACGCCTACATCCATAACCTTGAGGATGTGGGTCGTGACGTTTGAAGCGACAAACTTATCAAAGCTCGTGATAAGTTTGAGAAGAGAAATCTGACAGATGCACACTATAAGCTGCATCGTCTGCCTAAGGAGGAAGGGTTACCCAGCCTCTCATGGGGAGACTCGTGCCCATGTTGTGTGAACAACTCTGCACGAGCACCTATAGAGGCTTGCCTCCTTACTAGCCCGTGGTGGCGCGCACGCATCTCTACTGAGGTGTACGGTGGGATTGACAACCTGAAATCCCTTTACGACCGTGCCGGGAAGACTTTCTCCGGCGGTCCTTCTGCGGAACAGGATGTGCCGCGTCGTACTGCTCGACCAGACCCAGTACGTCAACCATCAGTCGGGAACGGGGCTCCCGAGAATCCCAGGACGGGGGATAGCCGCGCCACCGGACGAGATAACTCGTCCGACGTCCGTTCACGTCGCGGTGGTTCAACAGCTGCTCAACTAGATAGCGCTGGCCACCGCGAGGTTCCTCTAATAAAGGGGGAGGAGGAGGAAAGACGCTCTCCACACGATCATGTGGATCGGTGGTTCCCGAGAGCTTCTTTGATCGCGTAACGCAAGGGTTACGCGACTATCTCGAACATGAGCAGAATAGGCGTCTCCAGATGGTGGACACTGCCTCGAAGCATCGAGCTGAGTTTGCCTTTGCTCAGCTTGAGCAACGAGAGATCTCTGACATCTCTTCGTGACGAGCTAAGGGTAGATCGTGGGATTGTTGATCGGTCTCGGGATGAGATAGCTGCTCTTCAGACCCTTGTCGATGCCCATCATCGGGATCACAAGGCTCTCTGCGAGATGCTTGAGCGCAAGGGCGTTCTTCATCGGAAGAAGCAGCGTACTGATGGTACGGCTTAAGCCGACCAACGTAAAACGTGGGATGCGTTCGCATCTTACGTGGTAACTCGATCGTGTATGCATTGCCTAGGCGATGCAATACACGAAATGGGCCGGTGTACTTGTGTAGAAGTTTACTACTACCCAAGTTAGTCACTACATGCTTTGGTAGACTAACCGTAGACAGTAGGACTAAGTCACCTTTATTAAATAAAAGAGTGTTTGCCCTTCCATTCTTGTCAGCGTTTTGCTTTTGCTTATCCACCGCTTCGGCGATGGAGTCTTGAACAAAACGGACTACCGTTTCACGAGCCAGTATGAACTCATCTGATGACTCGTTAGCTTCAGTGCGCTGTGAGTGCACTGCAGCAACAACAACCTTTTCTTCAGTGAGGGCTTCTGCACTCTCACTGGTATCATCTTCTTCGATATCGATGTTATCGATATCGGCATCAAACTCAATGACTTCTTCTTCAGAGCGTGATGAGCGTGAACCAAATCGGTTTTTGCTCGCGCGAGTCTCTCCCCCCCTAAACCAGAGTTACACTCGAGTGAGGTGGGTACATGCGGATGGCGTAAGCCATTCACGAAAAACGGTGTATGTGTCGTGGACGCATGCACCGAGTTGTTGATGGCAAACTCTACCATTGGCAAGAACTCACTCCAACTCTTAAAGGAGTGTACTTATCCTCGAAGTATCTCTTCAAGGACACGATTGGCACGTTCCGTCTGACCATCTGACTCTGGATGATCAGATGTAGACATCTTCAAGCGCGTTCCGAGTGATTTGAACACGGACCGCCAGAAATCAGCAGTGAATCGTGGATCTCTGTCTGATACGAGTTCACGGGGCAACCCATGAAGTCGGAAGATGGTGTCAATAAAGACACAAGCACAGCCACTTGCCGTGATTGTCTCTGGTACAGCCACAAGGTGTACCATTTTGCTGAATCTGTCAACAAATACGAGAATACCCGTATTCCCGCGTGCGTCTTTGGGTAACCCGAAGACGAAATCCATTGAGATGGATTCCCAGCACTCAGCCAGAACCGGTAGAGGCTGTAAAGGTGCACGCAGTGAAGGACTTGACTTCACTCGTTGGCAGATTTCGCATGCGCGAACATACTTTCGCACAAACTGATACTGGCGGGGCCAGTAAAAGTCTCGACTTACCGTGAGATATGTTTTCTCTCGGCCACGATGTCCTCCTATAGGAGCATCGTGATACTCGAACATGATCCGCAAACGCAGATCAGTATCATCTGGAATGACAACACGTGGCGTGTCACCAGAAACGGCTGTATAATACAGTAACCCGTCGCGAGTGGTGTATCGATCTGATGCAGATCGATACGCAGACGACAATCGTTTCAACGATTCTCGAGATGGCTGTGAGAGATGTGTCAACAACTTCACAATCTCACCATCTTGGGCGTATGCCCGCCTCACATCACCATACAACGTTGTAGATGGGACTGAGGACGTCATAACCGCAACAGTGACTGTCTCACTGTTGGGTTTCACGACTGTTTCAAAGTCGGGCCGAAGTGAGAGTGCATCAGCAACGACATTGAGTCGTCCTGGTTTGTACTCGACCGTAAAGTTGTATTCTGCAAAGAATGACAGCCACCGCGCCATTCGTTGTGAAAGGTGAGGGCTGTTTACTGCCGTGCGTAAGGACGCATGGTCAGTGTAAACAATGAAGGGTCTATCTCCTAATAGATAGACTCTGAGCTTCGCGAGTGCATGCTTCATGGCAAGGAGTTCCTTGTCATGCACTGGATAGTTCCGCTCAGCTGATTGCAGCTGACGTGACTGATAGCAGACGACGCTATTAACGCCTTCGAGGTCGTACTGCATAAATGCACAGCCGATTGCGAAATCGCTGGCATCACAGACCACATGAAACGGCCTGTCCTGATCGGCAATTGCTAAGCTGGGGATTGTATCAAGCTCTGCTTGATACCATCAAAGGAGCGCTGACATTCAGTGTTCCATGACCACCTCTCGTTCTTTTTCAACAAACGAGAGAGGTGTACAGTCATTTCGGCGTAATTGCGTGAATGCTTGTGCAAATACGCCGCTAGCCCAAGGAATTTTCGAAGACCTTTGACATCAACCGGCACAGGCCAGTCGGTGATCGCCTTGATCTTTTCGTGATCAAAACGAAAACCGTTCTTACCAACGATGCACCCAAGAAGTGGTATTTCGCTTGCTGCAAATATACACTTCTTGAGGTTTGCATACAATTGATGCTTTCGCGTGATTGTAAGAACCCGTCGGACGTGGTACCTGTGAACCTCAACGTCCGACTTTCCATCCATAGCTCGACTATGGATGAATACGTCATCGAAATAACTCGGCGCGAATTCTCGTACTGGTCTCAACAAATGTGATACACATCTGTTGAACGTGGCAGGGACATTACTAAGCCCTTGTGGCATTACTAGCCATTCCCAGAGCATGCCGCTAGGCGTGCTAACTGCGGTATAGGGTATATCCCGTTCCCGCATAAGGATTTGATAGAAGCCATCCATCAAATCCATGGACGAAAAGATGGTACTCTTTGCCATACCATCAATGATTACGTCCTTCCTCGGTATAGGCGTCTGAGCCGGTACCGTTGCAGCGTTCAACTTGTTAAATGCATGCACTATCCGCCACCCTCCTGTTGATTTTCGCACACAGAAGGTCGGAGAGCTATGTGGGGAAGTTGATTCCCTCACATGGCCCGCAGCTAAACGATCGGCAAAGAACTTGTCGATCGCAAGTACTTGTTCACGAGGTAGTGGCCACTGCTTCATGACACAGTACTTCAAGCCTGGTTTAAGCTCGACCTCGTGACGAATACCTTTATCCTTCGGTAATTCGCACGGAACAGTTTGTAGGGAATACATCCTTGAACTTAACCAAATCTTCATAGAGAGGATTTGTCTTGAGCGATTCCCACGATTGGGAGTCATATCGCTCAACTCGTGTCTTTTCATCGAGGACACTCTCGTCCATCGATAAACTACTGAGAACTCTCTCGTTCTCAGTAGACACTGTTGCTGACCTTATGTCGGTTACACACTCGTCGTCAGCGATGAGCATGCAGATCTGCTTGACTTTGCCACTACGCAGATCACGCAAGAACCTTTTATGTTCGCTCGTTGGCAACTGAGTTATCTCCGAAGTCAACTTCGGAGGCGCAATTTGATCAAGTGTATAAGCGCCTACACTTGATCCGTTATTGACTAGGACATTCAATGTCTCTGTCATTTCCTGGGGACTTGTTCCCTCAGGCTTCGAAGGACTTATTCCTTCGTCTTCCCGGGGACTTATTCCCGCGGTTTCGGGGAACTTATTTCCGCCGTATTTGTAATCTTGGGACTTATTCCCTTTACTTCCTCTAGCTGGGGTTGCGCAACCACAGCGAGATCCTCTACGAAAGACTCTCCAGTCGATCTAGGATTATCGTTTCGCTTAACCTGAGCGATCGATTGTTTCTCTTCTAGATGTTCCCCGCTAGGGATACATCTTTGTCCCAGTCCACCCGACTTATTCGAGTGGTGGACCTTCGGCGCAGCCTGTGTTTCCTCACAGCCGCCGGAACTTTGCTCCGAAGTGTAACCGTTTGGTACACTAAGGTTTTGTGCAGTCTTACTAACGACCGTACCACAAGTGAGGCCATCGCACTCACTCGTAGTACATCCACACGCTTGTGGAATCTCCAAACGTTCATCAGATGGCCATCTAATGAACAAGCGACAGGCATCGTTACTGTTCGATGTTGCCAGTTTACCCGTAATTCGTACCTTCTGAGCCACGGTATTCCAAGGATGACATCAAATTTGTCATCCAAATCCAATACGATAAAGTCATCGTCATATTGGGTATCTTCTAGCGTATAGTGGATCTTCACTATACGCTTCATGAAGGTTACGGAAGCGCCTGTCGCAAGACGTACCGTCATCCTCGGAGGAGGTGTGTCACATTCACTGAACTTAAAATGACCATCTTCTAGCGATTGGCGTCGCACAAAATTGTTGGACGCCCCACAATCGACTGGAGCTTGAAGGGACAACTTATTTGTCACTTCGAGTTTCAAGGTAATGAGTGAGATCTCATTACCTAGAGCAGCAACGCACAACGTTTTTGTGTTGGGAGCAACCTTCATCAAGAGGCCTACAAATTTTCTTGACGTTGCTAGACCAGTAGGGTGCTCCGCACCTACTGATCCTGTCCGTTTTTGACGGTCCATCCCGTTGTTGCGTCTTTGCACCAACTGCGGACCCTCGTCTCTGCCCCTTTCTCATGGGTGGACGGTCACTACGCCCAGTGTTGCGAGACACTGGACGAGGGGCACTACACTCGTAAGCGTAGTGTCCTGTCTTTTGACATCTGTTGCATCTCTGCAACTTCTTGTAGCCTGTAGAGCGAACCTTCTCGCTCTCTACATAACAGAGTTCCATCGGCTCTGGACCTCCGTTGTCATATCGTCTCGGTTGACGATATGATGTCGAGCTGGCGCGAGCCTGTCTCAGACTGAAGTCTTCCTGCTCCGCAATGGAAATGGCTTGTTCTAGAGAATCTAGTTCAAGCCGGAACAGGTGAGTCTTGACGGGACCATCCGCAAGACCCTGCATGAACACCGAAACCAACGTGTGTTCATCCACCGGGTTGGAACTTATTCAACTCGTAAGATGCCGTATATGTTGCGCGTAAGCGTGCACATCACGCTTACCCTGCTTGAGCTTCAAGAGTTCAGTTCGAGCTCTGAACTCAGCTCTAGGCGGTTCAAACGTTTGTCTGAGCCGCGACTTGAAGACTTCCAACGACCCAAACGCATATGGGTCGTGCAACTTGAGCCCCAAAGCCCAAGTCTTGGCACGTCCTGCCAGATTTGACTGGGCAAATGCAACTTGCATATCCCCGTCGTCGATGCGACGCGCCCTTATGGCGTCATCCAATTCGACGAACCATCTCAAGAGTCCTCTTTGACTTCTTTGTACTTGGAGATGTCAATCTTCAAGGTTTCGGGTCGACGCGAGTGCATCGACCCACCAGCAGCAGCCTGCTGCTGTCTCAACAGTTCAAACTGTTGAGCACCCTGTTCTCTCAACAACTCTGCTTGTTGAGAACCTTGTTGGTGAAGCAAGGCTACTTTCTCGCGTTCAGCGTCAAGTTCATTTTGAATGAACTTGGCGATAGTAGCATGTTGGGCATCTCTATTGAGAGCCTCTAGCATGACGCTAACAGCATGGATGCCCATGGTCGAACCCATTCGTTCAACCGCATCCCATTCGACATCGCTCAAATGGGAGTAGCCGTCACGCGTAGCGTGAAAGCTTTGGTCATCTTCATCATCCAACATATTCATGTTGGATGTGAACGCGGTCCTTAGACGGACTACAAAGTGCTACCAGGTGTAACAGGGCACCCTGAAGCTTGTACTGGTGACAGTACAAGCTACTTATTCTGATGACAGAATAAGGCGGTGCCTCGGAACTTCACTTACACTCGTACGTGCAGAGGAAGACGGTAAGAAGAAGCGAGTACTTGGTTAAAGTAAAAAGTAGAACTGTATTTATAATAGTTAATGTCTGCAATAAATCACTATTTGTCCTCGTCTAACTATGTCTAAATACAAATGTGTAAATCAATTATCTGCTCTCCACTCATTGCGTGCGTCTGTCGTGGCGCGTCTTCGTTGGTTGATATAATGGCCTGTATCAACCAATTAGGAACTACTCGAAAGTGCTGCAGAATATTTGTCCTTATGACAATATTCTGAGAATCTAACTCTTATAGATATATTCTATTAACAATTTCTTTTAAATTGTTATGTAACGATTCACCCCGTTACATGATCTATCTCAAAAAGCCAACGACATGCAGCCAAAAAGTTATCTTGGGTGCCACAGAAATACGAAACGTAGACGGGAAAAAGAAAAAGTTACTGTCTCTTCAGTTTTGCTCAAGTTATTTCGCTGCTGTGGCCTCCTATAATTAGTACTGTAGAGTCCCCTTCATTTGTATGGCAGGGATCGCCTAATTCTGATTAAATAAAATTATTATTAAATGGCAGAATCATGGGGGATAGGGTTGAAGCGAAGGGTGCTACAGGTGCTAGCAAAGACGACGACAGCGTGTCCGCACCGCCCGTCCCCTTTTCGACATGCTGCCTCAATGCTTGCGGAACTCAAGACTTTCTGGATGCAGCAGGAGACTGGAGAGGATTCTCAGAGATGATTCAGAAGATGCAGGTTTAGGTGGAAAACTCTCAGCAAAAACCTCTCAAGCAACAAACTCTAGGTAGTTTTTGTAGTGGTCCCTCAGCAGTTGTTTAATGTATGTACGGCAGAAGACTTATCTGGTTTTAATAATAAAAATTCAGGGATCCCTTTACATTTGGCCTGGGCTTAACAAGGGACTCGACATTCTTTTTAAATGAGGAAAATATTAACTTAGAGATAACAAATTACGGAGCCTCTACTGTTTAGCTAAATAACGTTTTTGATTGGACAGGAAATCAAGCTATACTGAATGCTGTAGACGCTTTAACCTGTCGCCATTATTCTGTCATAGCAGCCGCGAATCTCGCTTGTTTGTCCCTCGCTCGCCTCGCTTCTCCCCGCTCTCTTTACCACCTGACGAGAGCAACGTCGTTTGTCGCAGCTGCCGCCTCTTTGATTACAAACAATCGAATGTTCGACGGCAGCTTCAAAGCTCCGCGTCAAGTGAATCTCAGTGGTCGTAAGAAGCCTCTGACGACGTCGATATCAATTTTCAGAGGTCGAAATGACGGGTCAAAGGACGAACTCCTGCGCACGAATCGATTGGCGAGGGAAGAACGACAGGCAATAAAGATACGCACAGCTGCGATTACTGTAACGGGGTGAATCGTTACATAACAATTTATAAGAAATTGTTAATAGAATATATCTATAAGAGTTAGATTCTCAGAATATTGTCATAAGGACAAATATTCTGCAGCACTTTCGAGTAGTTCCTAATTGGTTGATACAGGCCATTATATCAACCAACGAAGACGCGCCACGACAGACGCACGCAATGAGTGGTGAGCAGATAACTGATTTACACATTTGTATTTAGACATAGTTAGATGAAGATAAATAGTGATTTATTGCAGACATTAACTATTATAAATACAGTTCTACTTTTTACTCTAACCAAGTACTCGCTTCTTCTTACCGTCTTCCTCTGCACGTACGAGTGTACGTGAAGTTACGAGGCACCGCCTTATTCTGTCATCAGAATAAGTAGCTTGTACTGTCACCAGTACAAGCTTCAGGGTGCCCCGTTACACCTGGTAGCACTTCGTAGTCCGTCTAAGGACCGCGTTCACATCCAACATGAATATGTTGGATGATGAAGATGACCAAAGCTTTCACGCTACGCGTGACGGCTACTCCCATTTGAGCGATGTCGAATGGGATGCGGTTGAACGAATGAGTTCGACCATGGGCATCCATGCTGTTAGCGTCATGCTAGAGGCTCTCAATAGAGACGCCCAACATGCTACTATCGCCAAGTTCATCCAAAATGAACTTGACGCTGAACGCGAGAAAGTAGCCTTGCTTCACCAACAAGGTTCTCAACAAGCAGAGTTGTTGAGAGAACAAGGTGCTCAACAGTTTGAACTGTTGAGACAGCAGCAGGCTGCTGCTGGCGGCTCGATGCACTCGCGTCGGCCCGAGACTTGAAGATTGACATCTCAAAGTATAGAGGGGTCGAAGAAGACTCCCTCTTGAGATGGTTCGTCGAATTGGATGACGCCATAAGGGCGCGTCGCATCGACGACGGGGATATGCAAGTTGCATTTGCCCAGTCAAATCTGGCAGGACGTGCCAAGACTTGGGCACTGGGGCTCAAGCTGCACGACCCATATGCGTTTGGGTCGTTGGAAGTCTTCAAGTCGCGGCTCAGACAAACGTTTGAACCGCCTAGAGCTGAGTTCAGAGCTCGAACCGAACTCTTGAAGCTCAAGCAGGGTAAGCGTGATGTGCACGCTTACGCGCAACATATACGGCATCTTACGAGTTGAATAAGTTCCAACCCGGTGGATGAACACACGTTGGTTTCGGCGTTCATGCAGGGTCTTGCGGATGGTCCCGTCAAGACTCACCTGTTCCTGCTTGAACTAGATTCACTAGAACAAGCCATTTCCATTGCGGAGCAGGAAGACTTCAGTCTGAGACAGGCTCGCGCCAGCTCGACATCATATCGTCAACCGAGACGATATGACAACGGAGGTCCAGAGCCGATGGAACTCTGTTATGTAGAGAGCGAGAAGGTTCGCTCTACAGGCTACAAGAAGTTGCAGAGATGCAACAGATGTCAGAAGACAGGACACTACGCTTACGAGTGTAGTGCCACTCGTCCAGTGTCTCGCAACACTGGGCGTAGTGACCGTCCACCCATGAGAAAGGGGCAGAGACGAGGGTCCGCAGTTGGTGCAAAGACGCAACAACGGGATGGACCGTCAAAAACGGACAGGATCAGTAGGTGCGGAGCACCCTACTGGTCTAGCAACGTCAAGAGAATTTGTAGGCCTCTTGATGAAGGTTGCTCCCAACACAAAAACGTTGTGCGTTGCTGCTCTAGGTAATGAGATCTCACTCATTACCTTGAAACTCGAAGTGACAAATAAGTTGTCTCTTCGAGCTCTAGTCGATTGTGGGGCGTCCAACAATTTTGTGCAACGCCAATCGCTAGAAGATGGTCATTTTAAGTTCAGTGAATGTGACACACCTCCTACGAGGATGACGGTACGTCCTGCGACAGGCGCATCCGTAACCGTCATGAAGCGTATAGTGAAGATTCACTATACGCTAGAAGATACCCAATATGACGATGACTTTATCGTATTGGATTTGGATGACAAATTTGATGTCATCCTTGGAATACCGTGGCTCAGAAGGTACGAATTACGGGTAAACTGGCAACATCGAGCAGTAACGATGCCTGCCGCTTGTTCATCAGATGGCCATCTGATGAACGTTTTGGAGCGTCCACAAGCGTGTGGATGTACTACGAGTGAGTGCGATGGCCTCATATATGGTACGGTCGTTAGTACAACTGCACAAACCCTTAGTGTAACAAACGGTTACACTTCGGAGCAAAGTTCCGGCGGCTGTGAGGAAACACAGGCTGCGCCGAAGGTCCACAACTCGAATAAGTCGGGTGGACTGGGACAAAGATGTATCCCTAGCGGGGAACATCTAGAAGAGAAACAATCGATCGCTCAGGTTAAGCGAAACGATAATCCTAGATCGACTGGAGAGTCTTTCGTAGAGGATCTCGCTGTGGTTGCGCAACCCCAGCTAGAGGAAGTAAAGGGAATAAGTCCCAAGATTACAAATACGGCGGAAATAAGTTCCCCGAAACCGCGGGAATAAGTCCCCGGGAAGACGAAGGAATAAGTCCTTCGAAGCCTGAGGGAACAAGTCCCCAGGAAATGACAGAGACATTGAATGTCCTAGTCAATAACGGATCATGTGTAGGCGCTTATACACTTGATCTGAGTGCGCCTCCGAAGTTGACTTCGGAGATCACTCAGTTGCCAACGCTCGAACATAAAAGGTTCTTGCGTGATCTGCGTAGTGGCAAAGTCAAGCAGATCTGCATACTCGTCGCTGACGACGAGTGTGTAACCGACATAAGGTCAGCAACAGTGTTTACTGAGAACGAGAGAGTTCTCAGTAGTTCATCTATGGACGAGAGTGTCCTAGATGAAAAGACACGAATTGAGCGATATGAGTCCCAATCATGGGAATCGCTCAAGGAAAATCCTCTCTATGAAGATTTGGTTAAGTTCAAGGATGTATTCCCTGAAACTGTTCCGTGCGAATTACCGAAGGATAAAGGTATTCGTCACGAGGTCGAGCTTAAACCAGGCTTGAAGTACTGTGTCATGAAGCAGTGGCCACTACCTCGTGAACAAGTACTTGCGATCGACAAGTTCTTTGCCGATCGTTTAGCTGCGGGCCATGTGAGGGAATCAACTTCCCCACATAGCTCTCCGACCTTCTGTGTGCGAAAATCAACAGGAGGGTGGCGGATAGTGCATGCATTTAACAAGTTGAACGCTGCAACGGTACCGGCTCAGACGCCTATACCGAGGAAGGACGTATTCATTGATGGTATGTCAAAGAGTACCATCTTTTCGTCCATGGATTTGATGGATGGCTTCTATCAAATCCTTATGCGGGAACGGGATATACCCTATACCGCAGTTAGCACGCCTAGCGGCATGCTCTGGGAATGGCTAGTAATGCCACAAGGGCTTAGTAATGCCCCTGCCACGTTCAACAGATGTGTGTCACATCTGTTGAGGCCAGTACGAGAATTCGCGCCGAGTTATTTCGATGACGTATTCATCCATAGTCGAGCTATGGATGGAAAGTCGGACGTTGAGGTTCACAGGTACCACGTCCGACAAGTTCTTACAATCATGCGAAAGCATCAATTGTATGCAAACCTCAAGAAGTGTATATTTGCAGCAAGCGAAATACCACTTCTTGGGTGCATCGTTGGTAAGAACGGTGTACGTCCTGATCCCGAAAAGATCAAGGCGATCACCGACTGGCCTGTGCCGGTCGATGTCAAAGGTCTTCGAAAATTCCTTGGGCTAGCGGCGTATTTGCACAAGCATTCACGCAATTACGCCGAGATGACTGTGCACCTCTCTCGTTTGTTGAAAAAGAACGAGAGGTGGTTATGGAACGCTGAATGTCAGCGCTCCTTTGATGGTATCAAGCAGAGCTTGATACAATCCCCAGCTTAGCAATTGCCGATCAGGACAGGCCGTTTCATGTGGTCTGTGATGCCAGCGATTTCGCAATCGGCTGTGCATTAATGCAGTACGACCTCGAAGGCGTTAATAGCGTCGTCTGCTATCAGTCGCGTCAGCTGCAACCAGCTGAGCGGAACTATCCAGTGCATGACAAGGAACTCCTTGCCATGAAGTATGCACTCGCGAAGTTCAGAGTCTATCTATTAGGAGATAGACCCTTCGTTGTTTACACTGACCATGCGTCCTTACGCACGGCAGTGAACAGCCCGCACCTTTCACAACGAATGGCGCGGTGGTTGTCATTCTTTGCAGAATACAACTTTACGGTCGAGTACAAACCAGGGCGACTTAATGTCGTCGCTGATGCACTCTCACGTCGTCCCGACTTTGAAACAGTCGCGAAACCCAACAGTGAGACAGTCACTGTTGCGGTTATGACGTCCTCAGTTCCATCTACAACGTTGTATAATGATGTGAGGCGGGCTTACGCCCAAGATGGTGAGATAGTGAAGTTGTTATCACATCTCTCCCAACCATCCCGAGAATCGTTGAAACGATTGTCGCCTGCGTATCGATCTGCATCAGATCGATACACTACTCGTAACGGTTTACTGTATTATACAGCCGTTTCTGGTGACACACCACGTGTTGTCATCCCAGATGATACTGATCTGCGTTTGCGGATCATGTTCGAGTATCACGATGCTCCTATAGGAGGACATCGTGGCCGAGAGAAAACATATCTCACGGTAAGTCGAGACTTTTACTGGCCCCGCCAGTATCAGTTTGTGCGAAAGTATGTTCGCGCATGCGAAGTCTGCCAACGAGTGAAGTAAAGTCCTTCACTGCGTGCACCTTTACAGCCTCTACCGGTTCCGGCTGAGTGCTGGGAATCCATCTCAATGGATTTCGTCTTCGGGTTACCCAAAGACGCACGCGGGAATACGGGTATTCTCGTATTTGTTGACAGATTCAGCAAAATGGTACACCTTGTGGCTGTACCAGAGACAATCACGGCAAGTGGCTGTGCTTGTGTCTTTATTGACACCATCTTCCGACTTCATGGGTTGCCCCGTGAACTCGTATCAGACAGAGATCCACGATTCACTGCTGATTTCTGGCGGTCCGTGTTCAAATCACTCGGAACGCGCTTGAAGATGTCAACATCTGATCATCCAGAGTCAGATGGTCAGACGGAACGTGCCAATCGTGTCCTTGAAGAGATACTTCGAGGATAAGTACACTCCTTTAAGAGTTGGAGTGAGTTTTTGCCAATGGTAGAGTTTGCCATCAACAACTCGGTGCATGCGTCCACGACACATACACCGTTTTTCGTGAATGGCTTACGCCATCCGCGTGTACCCACCTTACTAGAGTGTAACTCTGGTTTAAGGGGGGGAGGGACTCGCGCGAGCAAAAACCGATTTGGTTCACGCTCATCACGCTCTGACGAAGAAGTCATTGCGTTTGATGCCGATATCGATAACATCGATATCGAAGACAATGATCCCAGTGAGAGTGCGGAAGCCCTCACTGAAGAAAAGGTTGTTGTTGCTGCAGTGCGCTCACAGCACACTGAAGCTAACGAGTCATCAGATGAGTTCATACTGGCTCGTGAAACGGTAGTCCGTTTTGTGCAAGACTCCATCGCCGAAGCGGTGGATAAGCAAAAGCAAAACGCTGACAAGAATGGAAGGGCAAACACTCTTTTATTTAATAAAGGTGACTTAGTCCTACTGTCTACGGTTAATCTACCAAAGCATGTAGTGACTAACTTGGGTAGCAGTAAACTACTACCCAAGTACATTGGCCCATTTCGTGTATTGCACCGCCTAGGCAATGCATACACGATCGAGTTACCACGTAAGATGCGAACGCATCCCACGTTTTACGTTGGTCGGCTTAAGCCGTACCATCAGTACGCTGCTTCTTCCGATGAAGAACGCCCTTGCGCTCAAGCATCTCGCAGAGAGCCTTGTGATCCCGATGATGGGCATCAACAAGGGTCTGAAGAGCAGCTATCTCATCCCGAGACCGATCAACAATCCCACGATCTACCCTTAGCTCGTCACGAAGAGATGTCAGAGATCTCTCGTTGCTCAAGCTGAGCAAAGGCAAACTCAGCTCGATGCTTCGAGGCAGTGTCCACCATCTGGAGACGCCTATTCCGCTCATGCTCGAGATCGTCGCGTAACCCTTGCGTTACGCGATCAAAGAAGCTCTCGGGAACACACCGATCCACATGATCGTGTGGAGAGCGTCTTTCCTCCTCCTCCACCTCCATTAGAGGACTCTCGCGGTGGCCAGCGCTATCTAGTTGAGCAGCTGTTGAACCACCGCGACGTGAACGGACGTCGGACGAGTTACCTCGTCCGGTGGCGCGGCTATCCCCCGTCCTGGGATTCTTGGGAGCCCCGCTCCCAATTGATGGTTGACGTACTGGGTCTGGTCGAGCAGTACGACGCGGCACATCCTGTGCCGCAGAAGGACCGCCGGAGAAAGTCTTCCCGGCACGGTCGTAAAGGGATTTCAGGTTGTCAATCCCTTCGTACATCTCAGTAGAGACACGTACGCGCCACCACGGGCTGGTAAGGAGGTAAGCCTCCTTAGGTGCTCGTGCAGAGTTGTTCACACAACATGGGCACGAGTCTCCCCAAGAGAGGCAGGGTAATCCTTTCTCCCTTGACAGACGATGCAGCTTATAGCGTGCACTAGTCGGGGTTCGCTTTTCAAACTTATCACGAGCTTTGATAAGTTTGTCGTTCCAAGCGTCACGACCTACATCCTCGAGATTATGGATGTAGGCGTTCCACGCCTGAAGTAGTGAGGGACCATCACGTTTGTGATTCCCACTGTACCATCGATGTCTGAAGAAAGCATCGATGAAGAACTCATGTTCAGCGCGATAGTCTTTCGCGCTGGGGTCAAGGTGATGAATCCTTGACGAATCGAACAATCGTGTTCGATAACGATCACTCGTCGTCGCCGACAAGTGATCCATGACAGATTTAGGAGGCATCCATGCCTTCTTTTCTGGAGCGAGACGCAACACATTGCGGTCCCGCTCTTCCTGCGACGTGCCGACAGAAGTACTGGCACCTCGCTGTGAAGTGGTGTCCATTGGAGAACCGACACCACTATTAGCGCCCGAGTCTCGCGACCTCGAGCGCCTTCGCTTCGGCGATGGTTCATCTGACTCATCAGATGAACCAAAGATGCTGCGACGCAAAGCATCGTCCATGCCACGCTTGGCAGGCGGCTTAGATTCAATCGCCGTCGATACGGATCCGTCATCCGTATCAGGAGAGTACGAGACACCGAGCTCGTACTCTGTGAAGACACGAGTGTCTCCATGACCAGCGCCTGCGTCACCAAGTGACACAGGCTGGGTCTCTTCAGCAACCGATGGGACATCAGTTGCTGTTGTTTCTGCTTCGGCGTCCGCACAGAGACGTGCAGACGCGCTCTCGGCGGCCTTGCTCGCGCATCGCATGGGCTTGTTTACCATGCGATGAAATGTTGGAAAGTGGACGCGGACCAACAAGTGCGAACCCTGTCCCAAATGATTTGGGACGAGTATCCATCTAGTCATATCAATCGTTACTAAAAGGGGGGTGGTTGGGGGGGGGGGGGTGATGTAACGGGGTGAGCCGTTACATAACAATTTATAAGAAATTGTTAATAGAATATAACTATAAGAGTTATATTCTCAGAATATTGTCATAAGGACAAATATTCTGTAGCACTTACAAGCAGTTCCTAATTGGTTGATATAGGCCATTATATCAACCAACGAAGACGCGCCACGACAGACGCACGCAATGAGTGGTGAGCAGATAACTGATTTACACATTTGTATTTAGACATAGTTAGATGAAGATAAATAGTGATTTATTGCAGACATTAACTATTATAAATACAGTTCTACTTTTTACTCTAACCAAGTACTCGCTTCTTCTTACCGTCTTCCTCTGCACGTACGAGTGTACGTGAAGTTACGAGGCACCGCCTTATTCTGTCATCAGAATAAGTAGCTTGTACTGTCACCAGTACAAGCTTCAGGGTGCCCCGTTACAATTACCAAGATCCAGACCCAATTCCGTCGTGTCCGGGCTTCCCAAATCGCTCGAGCTGCTGTTATGCACGATCTAGAGTATCAACTTTAACAGGCAATGCTGACAATTGATATTCAGTATTAAGCGCTGTCTATCCAACAGCTCCAGCTGATTCTGAGACGGTTTTTGTTTGCGCGCTCAAGTAAAAAAAGGACGACTGTGGCTACAGGACCAAAATTAACAAGGCTTTGGCAATTAGAAACGGACCAAACGGGACGGAAACTCCAGGATTACGTGGTCTTTTTACTGTTTGTCAGCTGTCTCAAGGGATCGTCCGACATGGCTACAAAGTGGCTGGCTGTAAAAAAAAGATACTACATGGGTCTACCAAGTGTCGCAAATGAGCGAAATCGCCTTGTATACACTTGTGCACGACGATTCGAGATTTCAAATACAAATGCTCATGTGGCAGTGAACCCCTATCTGATGCTGCTAGACACGCTGACAATTGCGTCAACGTACAAGACACTTGACGATCAAAAAGTTCTGTCAGACGTGTGTTATCACCTTGGAATCTCAAGGCGGTACAGTGTTTTCGACGCAGTGACTGCGTGTATCACGGTCCAGGCAGAAGAAAAACAATCACGTGTGGAGGTCGACAAGTTGGTGCAAGTCACTGCACGTATTGCTGCCCAAACGCTGCAAGCGGCGGCGAGAGAAGAGGAAGCACAAGGACGAGATGCTGGTCTGCTGTTGCAGTTTGCAAAGAAGTTGTTATTGGCGTCGTCATCAGTGACTTGTCCACTAACGAGTTGCATACAAAGACAGCATTGTCAATCGAGAGCCATTCTCGTGATGCAACGGTTCAATGGTGGGACATTTTTGGGTACGTGTGGTACGTCATTTTTGCATTGACTCGACGGTGGCAGCACTTTCGTGGTCAGAGCGAGCCATTTGTGTTGGAAACGTGTTAGAACTCGCGTATCATTGCTCGTTTGAAGGTGCTATTGTGGAAGTTATTCCGCTCGTACTGTCTGAGTTAATGACTTTATCACTCGTGCAATGGGCGTTTGACGTAAAGCATTCCGAGCAAGATTTAATTATGAACAACGAAGATTATGACATGGATGATGATGGAAACGTGCCGAGTGTTTTATTATCCGTTCAAGACTTTGCATTGGAAGAAGAAGTGCAGCGCGGCGTGGAAGGACTCGGCGTCGCTGAGCCTAGTGTCCGTGCGCAGTGGCAAAAGCTTTGCCATTCAAATTTTGCTCCGCTGTGTATCGATGTGCTGCTGCGTGTGAACAACGGGACACCGGAGCTTGTGTTGTCCGGCAAGAGTCCTGTTTACCAGCTTTGCGACGTTCTTGCTACTTTGATTTTGTCAACAGGGCGGTCTCACGTCCTTACTGTAGCGGCTAACTTTACGAATCCTCCTCCGGCTTTGCTTGCGTTGCTGAGTGCGATGACGGTCGAGCAGAGTCCGTGGAGGTCCACCGTTCTCTCAAGCATTACAAATCTAGTCGATAGCATGTGGCAGAGGATAAGGTCAGCGATCAAAAGCAGCACTTCCCAGCACCTGGCGCCGCTTTTCGGAGAGTGCTCGCTTGATACAACGACGGTGCCATTGCAGATGCTCCTTATTTTTAACGTCGTCTATTCTCACATGCTTTTGGGACTTGACGATGAAGCATTTTACGATGGGCAATGGCCACTTCGTTTGTGTGAAGTCAAAGCCTTGGTGACATTTTTGAAACAATTTGTTTACGAATCGTGTTGGATAGTTGATGGCAACACTGCACTACCGACTGGCACCATGGACGAAAGAGACCTCGTGAGATTCGCTGTGGTTGTGAAATCCGTTAAGCTGTTCAGCCAGCTCTATGATCGGGATTGTCGGCGTCGTTTCATGCCTGATGACGCTTGGTCGTGGCCTTTATTGCCTACGATCAGGGAAATTGTGGACCTTGAACTGATGAATGAGGACGGTCCTCACGGTGCGGACGCGATCTACATGCTGATGAATGGGAAAGCGTCTTCTCCGTACGCGCGTGCAGCGCTGATCCTTGTCACGATTCCGCAAGTTTTGTCTTTCAATGAACGTGTCCAGCTTTTTCAAAAGTTGCTGGACGATGCGAAGGCGCAAGCAGGCAACACGCGCGACGAATTTTCACGGGCTTTGCAGGTTCGGATTCAACGCTATGAGATTTTGCGCGACGGTTATGATTTCTTTCGAAAAGTGTGCGACGTTATGTCTCCTGCAGCCCTCAAGTCGCGCATCAAGGTCACATTTATCAACGAGCAAGGGCTCGAGGAGGCAGATATTGATGGTGGTGGTGTGTTCAAGGAATTCATGGACAATTTAACGAAGAATGCTTTCTCACCAGAGTTCGGCTTTTTTCTAGAAACGGATGATCATCTCCTTTATCCTAACTCAAGTGCGAAGTTCATTGTGGACACGCACAAAGAAGCGTTAGAACGCTACCGATTTCTGGGGCGACTCTTGGCGAAAGCTGTATTTGAAAACATTCTCGTAGAGCCACAGTTTGCTGCATGTTTTATCAACAAACTCTTGGGCAAGTTCAACTACATTGACGACTCGCATTCATTGGACCCCGAGCTATACACATCACTTATGCGCCTGAAGCACTACGACGGCAATGTGGAGGATCTAGCGCTGACATTCAGCGTGAGCGAGGTGCAGTTAGATAAAGTAGTGACACGAAATCTCTTGCCGGACGGCTCGAAGGTCCCTGTTACGAACGAAAATCGGATTCGATATATCCACTTGATGGCGAACGATAAGCTGAATGTGTTGACATCCATTGAATGTGCTGCATTCCTAATGGGTTTTCGTGACTTGATTCCGGAGTCATGGATTCAAATGTTTGCTCCAGCCGAGGTGCAGATGCTTATTGGTGGCACTGCCACGAACATCGACGTTGATGACTGGGAGCGGCATACTCAATACGGAGGTGGCTATCACCCGTCCCAAAAAGTTATCCAATGGTTCTGGGAAATTGTGAAGGAGGATTTTACGCATGAAGACCGTGCAGCGCTACTCAAGTTTATCACGAGTTGTTCCCGTCAACCTCTGCTTGGCTTTTCAAAATTGGTTCCTCAGATCGGTATCCACCAAGTGCGCGTAGAAGACGACGAGCGACTGCCATCGAGTGCAACGTACATGAATCTACTTAAGCTACCAGCTTATTCCAATAAGAAGTCGATGCGCAAGAAGCTGGTGTATGCTATTCGATCAAATGCAGGCTTCGACCTCTCTTAAAGAAGAGAGCTGATAACTGCGAAGTGGAAGTTGACAAAGCAGTTTCCCACATAGCTTTATTACGAGGCACGAATAGTCGATCGGCCAGTGATATGACACATTTCTGCAGTTGGAGACTGGTTGAGTCGAGGCGCACAGCCACATTTTACAATCCTGTTGCACGCTGTGACACTTTCAAGTAATTACAAGGAGCTCTGCCTGGCGTTTTTTTTTCTCAATAGTATTAGATCTGCAGCCTTTGCAGCGATTCGTTTAGTTCGGGTGGCGTGCACGCAACGTGTTTGTACAATTGTGAACCAGACATGACGACGATGGCGAGAGAAGAAATGGGATGAATAGCGAGACTGAAACGTCATCTTTTACTGTGCTGTCGAAGGCACCACTATGTGCGGCGCGTGCTACGCTTTGTCACAGAAGCTGTCCCGGAAAGAGCACTGGACAACAACGAACTGTTCGCGGGTGGTTTCAAGAAATGAATTTTCAGCTTTTTCCGAGTAAGATGTGGTGACAAGGCGCTGAGGCAGTGTGTAGTTCCATCCGGCTCACCGCAGCAAGTGGCACGTTTGTTCCCTAGAAACGATGTTGTGATGACTTAGCAGAGGGCGACGACGTTCCTTGTGCTAGTTTTTTTGCTGAACGGTAATATGGGCTACCTAGCATGTGTGTTTCTGGGATTATAAAAGGTTGGTCGATTTGTCTCCCCCTTCGCTTCGGGCGATGATTTCTTCATCTAAGAAGTATGCGAGAATGACGTGCGGATTCTTAAACTATGTTGCACCAGTGACTCGTTTCGATCTGATTGTTGCTGCGCGTACATCCTGAACAATGGCAAGGAGGACACACTGTAGGACGTGCTCACGTCTGAATATCGTCAGGTGCACTGATAACGTGGGATGATTAGGAGGACGGATACAATTATGAATGAAACGTCGTCTTTCCGCGTGCAGCGGTGACCCCGATCAGGTCGTTTTGTTCACGACAACAATGCGTATCCGATGTATTAACACGAACGTGACAGTCTATTTCATCTCGGTATCAACATCTTGCTCGCTCTGTATATCCAAGCTTTTCGTGACGCGTTCTGATTGAACAAGCAAAGAGCTGTGGAACAATTGGTGAGCCTGTTCTCGTTACCAGCCACGTTAAGGAGCTGGAGACGTACACCACTCATGGTCATGATGGATCGACCAACTCGTGGTTCGGTAGCGCTTACCCAGTACATGTACCGATCCTTAGTCAAGGAAGCCACGGTCTCAGGTTCTGGCTGCGGGATATCACGGCACAAACGAGGTCGCTGTTTTTTCAGTTCCAATAGGTATATCTCGAGACAGGTACTCTGTGGGCATTACGATTGCAGCCAGTAGCTCCAAACGTCATGTTGATCCTGGCGTACACATGCCATGGCCAGCTACTTTGGAATCCAGTGTGGAGTCAAGCCGATCGATGAGACGGAACCTGTGTATACCCGAGGCAGTTCGCCTGCTTGCACAAGAGAGTGAGTGAATGGAGACAAAAGGGGTTTCGCATTGAAGTTTTAGGTCTTTTTCGTTCGTTCGGAAGTATGGGCTTGACCTGATCGAACCCTCGAACGTTTGCTTATCAACCGTTACGTTTTTCCTAATCATCGAGACTAACATCGACACACTTATTGAACGTGCAAAAGAATCCCTCGTCGCAGCCCCTTTGAAAAGAGCCAGTCCCGAGATCGAAACACTCGCCCTTGTAGCGTGGTCCGCGACATGTCGTCGTCCCGTCTTCACAGAACTTGCCGGCAGAACAGATGATATGGCACTCTCGGTGGTCGATCGGATCTGCATCGACTCGACACAAGTCGTCGATGCACTTGAACCCGGCGTCGCACCCTGCTTGGAATTTCACTGCCGTGGCATTGTAACACTTGGTCTCGCTTGCAGCAGCTTGACACGTGTGAATGGTGCCGACGCAGTACTCTCTCGCTTTGTTGCACCCTTCTGTCAAACAGTCGACCGTCGAGTCGGAGTGATCGTGAGATGTGGACATGGTGATCGTGCTCGAGGCGACCATGCAGAATGTTGACGTGAGGAGGATCGATGATAGATGAGGGACGACGAGCTTCATCTTGTCAGCGGAAGATTGAACAAGCAAAAGTGACAATGGCGTGGATCAAACAGGCAGAGCCAACGGACTTAATAAAGGCCGAATGATCCGCTCGTGTAGTTTGTTGAGAAAGAAAAAGAAGGAAATCAGTACTTTTGCGTTGAAGCATCGCCGCCAGCCACTTCTGAGTACGGACGTCAGTGTATTTGGTTGCGATCCTGTCGTGAAAAAGATCGTGTTTGTCACATTTGTATCTGCAATATTACACATCAAATGCAGCCTTGTAACAGCGACACCGTCAGTAACTGTCGAAATGGCTCACTTTTTCCGATACGAAAGAGATCTTAACACTCCAGTTAAACGCATGATCGGCACGGATCACGTGAAGTACGCGTTCGAACTTAGCACCCGTGTCTTCGTTGCCACCAAAACATCAACCGAACTTGCTGCGTCAAAAGAGGTCCATTATCTACCAAAAGGACTCTGGCTCATTTTACTGTATAATTAGGTCATTTATTACTAACCTACGAATAGTGTTAAAAGACTCGATCGCATAACAGATTCACATCATCATAACGGTTGCAAGATCAGATAGTCTTTTCTTTATCACACGGCAGCACAACCATCTATTCACTAGCCCAGCCCCACACCTCGCTCACTACATACCCTCCCAAATCCGATCCCCCCAACCCCCACTTTACCCCCAGTCTCCCTTCAAAAAAAACCAATCCATCACCTAACTCATCCGCGCATCCAGGGCATCCCCCCGCTCACCTATGTACGGCGCCTCGCAGGTCCTCGCGCTCAGCGTGTCCGTCGTACTCTGTGCACTCGCCGTGCTCTACTCCGACTTCTTCTCAACACTCGTGCTGCCCACGCGTCCGTCGTCGCATCTCAGCGTAGCTGAGCAGCACCAGCTCTTGGCCTCACTCGTTTTCTACTCGTCGAAATCCCCCTCCTATTGGACCAATCCACAGCCACGAACTCCCCAACCCCTAACCACAACAATCTCCACCCCGCCTCCCCGTATCGCCTTTTGCTGCAGCGCTGACCTCGACGTCTCCGTTCCAGCTGTCGCCCTCATGCACCAAGTCGAACTCCAGCAACACCAGCAGCAGCATAAGACACAGCACGCGACCACGTCTCTGGCCTTACCGGTGCGCCATCACGAGCGCATCGACTCGCTCCAGGAGCTCCAAGAGAGTTTCGTCTTCTACTTTTCCTCAGGAGCTGCTGCTGAGCAGAGTGTGAACTCGTCCGCTGCGTTCCACGAGATTGTGGCACTAGCTAATGCCCTGCCAGACGTCCAGCGGAAAGTGGGCGGCAATGCCGCGACTATGGCTGCTCGAGCCTCGGCTGAAGGGTGCACTGTGCTCTTGGGCGCGGCTATGGGCGTCCAAATGAAGCAGCACTTTGATGACCCGACGATCCAACTTGTAGGGACCATTGAGGGAGAGGGGAAAGAGGACGTGCACTTGGTGCTCGAGTACGGACGTGGTGACGCCTTTCGAGGCCATGTGTCACCACGGGCGAATCGCTATTATTTAAACCATGACGTGCACAATGCGCGGCTGTCGGTGCTTGAAGAGTTCGAGCGAGCGCTCGAGACGTTCGAGCCGGACTTGGTCGTCTTTGGCGGCTTGCAGCTCATGGAAGTTGAGCAAGATGTACGTGCACGGGTCCTGCGTCTTGAAGCACTGGCCGGGGTGTTGCAGAATTTGTATGCAGTTGACACACCCACGCATTATGAGTTTGCTGCGGTGTCGGACTTTGGGCTGTTTTCCGACACGGTGCGCTTGGTGCTGCCATGGGTGGATTCTATCGGTCTGAATGAGCAGGAGCTGTTTATTCTGCACCACTTTTTAGTGACGGGGAAAGAAAGCACTGCGACAACGTCTCGACCGACGATTGCTGAGATTAGTGCACAGTTGCATGGCATTATTCAGTTTGCAAAGGATGCGAGAGAGACGGTTGAGGCAAGCAGACGGGGGAAGGAGGACGATGGAAAGCACGAGGTGACGGTGGCGTTAGCGCATTTGTCGCGGATTCATTTCCATACGCTCCAGTTTCATGTTGTATGCCAGAGGAAGAAGGGTATCTGGGAAGACCCGACTTCAGCATTGGTGCAGAGCGCACTGATTAGTTCCAAGGTGGCGTGTGGCAAGCCGCCGGTCCCAAGAAGTGGCAGTGCTTCTGATGACGAGAACGAGGCCCAGTCGATGCGTACTAGCGCTGAAATGGAAGTGGACCCGGAACGGGTCGAGATGCTGCTGGCTCGTGAGCAGCTATTGAGCGAACGTCAGGATCTCAAGGTCGACCTGGATCCATTGTCGCCGGTCATTACGTGGCAAGAAGCTGACTTTCAATGCCACCTGGTGCCAATGCTAGCTTGTAAAAAGCCTGACTACACTGCTGGACTGGGCGACAATATCTCTGGTACGGGCATCGCCTACCACCGCCTTCAAAAGACAAAGACCAAGGCTGGTGTCTTTGCTGAATAGACGGAGCAACCTTTGCAGCAAGACTTGCGCGTGAGTTGTCTGATTGTATAGCATCCTAACTGCTCGTTGGCTCTATCTGCTATCAAGTTCTTTACTCCTTGACCGTGATCTCTAGTTGCTTGCTTGCAGTGCGTGAGCTGGAGCCAACCCTATCCGTCATGCATCGAAACCACGGCCAGATCTTCGTCTCACGCATCACGTCGTTGTACGTGTCCAGGCCGTGCATCGCACGAAGGACACCAAAGACCGAGAGGTCTGCTTTGTTTGGTTCATGCCCTCCAAGAAACATGCGCTTGTCACCAACCGCATCAGCCCAGCTATTCAGAGCCGCATACAGCGCCAGTCGCTCATCGTCAATACCGTATTTCTTCTTCGACCGCTTGGCAATGAGGTACATCACCATTGCCCCGACGTACTTGGACAAGTGACGTTCCATGGACGTGAAGTTTCCAGCGGTCAAGCAATAGTCGAAAGCCTGCAGCGCCTCCGGCAGCGTAGGATAGATATTGGGAGGGGTCAAGACAATGAGCTTCGGTCGACCCATTGGCACCACTGGGCTTCCTCCTCCTGCGGCTCTTTATGCTCAAGCTGGGAGCTTTTAGCTGGCACGACCAGGTCCCACAGTCGTGCGCTAATTGCCGCAGATTCTACGACCACGTCATTGCCGATAGTGACAACTGGCACCTTGGCATACTTGGTCACAGCTTTGGTCTCCTTCTTGGTCAGTGGATTGACTTCCACCACGTCGTACGGGAGCTTGAGGTAGTCCAGTACAGCCTTCACCTTGCAGCAATAGGGACACGGTTCGTACTGATAGAGCACCACCTTTGGCACTGCTCTATTCGTATTGACCGTATCCGTAACTGAAGCACCAGTCGAGCAAAAAGCACACGAAGCACTCGTGTTTACTGCAGTAGCGGCCGCAAATCTCCATTTTTGAAGCAATAGCGATGCGGAGCACGAGAATGAGACTGATAGTTAATCGTTGTGGGAACAAAGCGCTTGGGTGCCGATGGACGTGCGAGGGCCAACGACATAGAGCGCAATCCGCAGGCGAGACGTGCGACACTACGATGTAGCATACTTAAGAATGGGTGGTGGAGATTGAGCACTCTTGTTAAAAGCCGATGCGGCAGTTACAGCAATCGACCACTGTAATTGAACATGGTAGAGTTAGCCTGTAAATATCGTGCTGTAACCTATTTTGCTGGACTGAGTAGCCACCGAACGCGAATGCATCTATCTGGCTGGACGGACACGCTCAATAAAACATCCCATGGCCGTCAGGCGTAATCGAAAATGCTTCTCGGAACAAACATTCGTATCGTTACGACGCTGACTTGCTTGTTATAGGATGAGACCATGAACGATTGTGCCAAGTAGTCGAAACTGTCGCACTTAGCAGCTCGGCCGAAATTGACCTGGCAAAACCCCTTGGACGAATGAGGTAGAGCCGGGGTCGCCACTGTGCCTTCTTGACAGCTATGGCAACACGAAACTGTACCAGCTTCAACTTGAATCGATTGCGGGACAACCGCCGGTAGACACATGCACTAAAGATAGTCTAGTAATCAATCAATCAATCAGTCAATCGTCACCGTCTCGTTGCCACCACGACCATTGACCACCTGTCAGCATTCACCACGCAAACTGCGGGAAACAAGCAGGAACGATCGATCTAGTCGGTAGAACAGTGCTGGAAGACGCTGCACGTTTCGACCGCTTTAGTCTCTTTCAACGTCGATTCGAACCAGCTTGCTGGACTGATGTAATCTCTCGATATCGCGACCGCTACGAGCGCCACGTTGTACAGCTTAGCTCTCTTCCAGCTCTTTTTTCAGCGTAATAGAACCAGAACATCTGGTAGTCACCACCACCACCACCTTCATTTGTCGAGCTTCGAGCGGTCAGCTTTCACAAAGAGCTCATCCGACCATTAGTCGCAGCTTTGTACTCTTCCTGCTGGTTGGTGCTGCTTGACTGACTGACGCCTTGAATGTCTTTCGTCTCACGTACAGTAGTCCCATCGCCGAGATCGAACTCGCAAGTCTTTTTAGCACCGACGTCCTTGCGTCAGTTCCGAATTCCTTCCATTCATACATCAGCTCCTCATGAAGCGAGAGACTTGGGGAGTCAGGGCTGCTGCAAAAGCCTTGTCTCTATGGACACGATGGATGCGTCCCTCAAGCTGGACGTGGCACTCCTGGACAACAGTCTCGTCAAACCAAGACCACCTCACTCCGTGTCGCCGTATTCATAGAGATAGATATCGGTGTATAGAGGGACAATTTGTATCTAATGTGGGGGTGGGTTACAAATTCAAGCCCAGCTTCGACGGTATTTCGTGTGATGTTGGCACAGCAAAGTGCCAGTCTGAAGGCTGCGGGGTAGTTTGTAGGCAGCATGGTGGGTTGGTTGCCTGGGACATATAATACAGCGTACAGGCACTACCTAAGATGGTGATCTTTTAGGACTTGGCGAATATGTCTGGAACTGACTCTGTCTCTGTGAAAAGACTCTTTCTCTGCTAAAAAACCTTTTTTTCTCGATTCTACTTCTGTACGGCTTCGAGGATCTCTTCAGCTCTGTGTCAGCTCTGTCTTCTTCTTCGATAGTTTAAATTCCCATTGATGGAAAAATAGCCAATAAAACTACGGTATGCTCCTCACAACAATAAAGACCAACCCCAGCAAACGACCAGAATGTCTACATGTCTCAGACGTTGGAGCACACCCTGGGGCAGATTTGTTTTTAAACTTAAGGGGCGGACATGTGTTGGTGGTCTTATGGCTATAATTCTGCTGGTTTCGGGCAAATTTGAACTTGGAGGTGAAAGTGGAGTGGGTTGTTCTAATGGAGCTTTCACGTTTAATCTTTCAATTATTGACTTTGCTGAGGTACTGGAACACGCCACCAGAATTGAGCCAGTGATAACTTATGGGAAACTGTGTCTACCGAGACTGAAATGTCAGCAGAGGGAGGACTGTGGGACCAAGTTAGTATACACATCATGGCTACAAATACCCAAAACTGGATCTATTGTAGAGGCTACGTGATCAAAAGTCGGTGGCGAAAAAGCCTGATTCCGACTTTATTGTTCAGTTTTTTCAAAGTGAGTGTTTACGGCACCCCGAGTTTATTTTACGTGTGGTTTTAAGAGCATATGTTCAGCGGCCACAGAGCTTTCAAGATAAATTAATTGAAAAACTCATCTAATTTATAGGGGTGGCACGGCACCCAAACGAGCTCGTTCGTGTACCTGGGTAATCTGAAATCAGTTGGCTAGAAATCCTTAGTGTGATTCCTCTGGTAACCGATGAAACGATCGTCGCTGGCCACAGAGGCCTCAAAGTAACTTCATAGTAAGCTTTTAAAAATTGGTGACTGAAGGGTACTCGCACTGACTCCATAGCATAGCTTAGTAATCTAAAAACGTTGGCTTGCAATCCCGCTCTCTAAATTCTTAGTAAAGCTTAGTAACTAAAAACTATGTGGCTACAAGGCACTCGCACCGACTCTATTATATAACTGAGCAATTCAAACCAGTGACTTCAAAACTCTTGACCTGATTCTTGGTACTGCTAATCGAACGAAATCGCTGGCCACAGAGATGCGAAAACAATTTTTTAGTAAAGCTCTGTCAAAAAATGTGACTGTACGGCACTTACACCGACTCCATGTGTAAGCTTTGTAATTTAAAAATTGGTGGCTGTAAAGCCCTTTATCTGATTTATTTTAGCCAATAAAATGATAATGGCTTGGCCACAGAAACCTTCACTATAATCGCATAGTAAACCAATGATAAAAATGAGTGGCGACAGGGTCCCCTTCCTGATTCCATAGTATAGCCAAGTCAAAAAGAATCAGTGGCTATAACGCCTCTGTGCTAAATTCCTGTAAGAGATGAACAAGCATACTCCAGTATATTTCGGTCCTTACAATCGGAAATATTGAAGCACGAAAGACAGTGAAATCTGCTCATTCCTCGTTTCGCCCTCATCAGAGCAACCGTTCTGCCCGTCAAGGCATGCCACCTTTCCGCGCGTTGGTCCTCCTCGTGAGTGCAGTGCTACTGCTCAACCGTGCTTGCTGTTCAATCCCAACCAAACCAGCGGTCGCAACGTCTGATGATCAAGCTAAGAAATACACGACCGCGGACAGCATATCAGGTGCCCATGCGTCCTATCAAGTTCTAGAGGCACGGGCCGAAGCCTCGGGCGGTTTCTTCCAAAAATTGGTTAACTGGTTTAAAGGGATCATGGCCAAATTTCCTCAGCTCTTCGGACTGTCTCGCCAACCTGTCATGGCGGAAATTCGCGAGCCCCCTGTCGTCTCAGGCACGCGCCCAGTCCGGAGACCTGAACCGGACGTTCGAACTGAAAGCATCGTCAAGGTTAACTATGTGGGGAAGCTTGGCCAGCCTTCTGTCGAATCAGGCACGCTTCATGTCCGGAATGCTGATGCTGAGGCTCACCCTGTCACCAACGACAACGGCCTAACCAGTGTGAATGCTGTCGTCGACGCGTATTTTGACGCTTATCTAAATTCGGGCCCGACAATGCACAAGGTGACCAACTGGGATGACATCAAGAAGCAAATCGATATTGAGTCTTTCATTGCAGCCGCCAAACTTCCACCGCTAACAGAGCACCCAGCTGCTGAAGTCCATACTGCTGCATTTAGATTTGCTAAGGCAAACATCCTCCCTGATGAAGGTACCGATGTCTTTCAGCGTTTCAAAAGGGAGGCGGACGGTGACCGTGACCTTGCCCAGTACCTGTCACTTCGGTCGTCCGGCTGGACAATGCCCCTCGTTCCTATAATCTGTGCCAGCCTACATACTAATGCTTTTAGAGAAGAGGGTATGAAGATGATGATCTACATGATGCAAGACATGGCCGCGAGGAGTTGGAATCCAAAATTCGCCAGAGAGGTGTTCAAGGAATCGTTCGTCAACGAGGAAAAAGATTTAGTCGATGCTTTCTATTCTCTGTACGATAGGTATTATGAACTTAGAAATAAGCTTGTTCCTCAGTCGTAGCTCGTACGTGAAAGTCATTTGGCGCGCCTGAATTTAAATAAAAAGCTTGCGTTTCTGGCATACATTCTTGTGTTGTGCTCCTCACTTTTCACTCCTATGTTCTGCAGTGACTCTTTGGGCAGGGCATGTTTGATATTAGCCTTTCACTTCTATGATTTGGGTTCATGGATAACTATCGAGACAATTATAATAATTGATCGCGATTGATAATTTTGTGGTCCAATGTGGCAGGGGGGTACAATTTTATACTATTACGTTAGGTAGAGATCAATAAACAAGTTACTACATTTGATTTAAATTTTTTATTAAACTTTTTTTGCGGATAATATTCACATGCATTCACAAATATTCATTGATGTGAGGTAAAATCCATGACTTTGTATCAGGTTTAAACGAATAGTACCATGTTTATTGTGATAACCAGTTACTGCGGTTTTCATAGACTTTTAGTTTAAATACCACTCATTTTCGTTTACCGGCCATAAACGTATTTTCACGTATTTTTAAAACTCCACCAAGCAGATTTCTTCTATGTAGAGTAATAGGGCCAACTGTAAACGACTTGATTTAATTGGAATATCGTGTCTGGAGGGATCTCGCTAGTTACCATGTCGATTAAAAGAGATTTGCGCCCACAATGCACATACCGAAACTTTACTTGACTGGTAGCTGACCAAGTCCCCAGCCTTAAGCCTTGTTGTAGTAGAAGCATTTGTGCACGACTATTTGATGATAACGGCGAAGGGATCGCAAGCAAATTGCAGTGCAACACGGGATACGTAGCGGAGCTACTTAGCGCTCTTAAACAGGGGATGTAACGGGGTGAACCGTTACATAACAATTTATAAGAAATTGTTAATAGAATATAACTATCAGAGTTACATTCTCAGAATATTGTCATAAGGACAAATATTCTGTATCACCTACGAGTAGTTCCTAATTGGTTGATATAGGCCATTATATCAACCAACGAAGACAAGCCACGACAGACGCACGCAATGAGTGGTGAGCAGATAGTTGATATGCACATTTGTATTCAGACATAGTTAGATGAGGATAAATAGTGATTTATTGCAGACATTAACTATGATAAATACAGATCTACTTTTTACTTTAACCAAGTACTCGCTTCTTCTTACCGTCTTCCTCTGCACGTACGAGTGTACGTGAAGTTACGAGGCACCGCCTTATTCTGTCGTCAGAATAAGTAGCTTGTACTGTCATCAGTACAAGCTTCAGGGTGCCCCGTTACACCTGGTAGCACTTCGTAGTCCGTCCAAGGACCACGTTCACATCCAACATGAACATGTTGGATGATGAAGATGAACAAAGCTTTCACGCTACGCGTGACGGCTACTCCCATTTGAGCGATGTCGAATGGGATGCGGTTGAACGAATGGGTTCAACCATGGGCATCCATGCTGTTAGCGTCATGCTAGAGGCTCTCAATAGAGATGCCCAACATGCTACTATCGCCAAGTTCATTCAAAACGAACTTGACGCTGAACGCGAGAAAGTAGCCTTGCTTCACCAACAAGGTTCTCAACAAGCAGAGTTGTTGAGAGAACAAGGTGCTCAACAGTTTGAACTGTTGAGACAGCAGCAGGCTGCTGCTGGTGGGTCGATGCACTCGCGTCGACCCGAAACCTTGAAGATTGACATCTCCAAGTACAAAGAAATCATAGAGGACTCTTGAGACGATTCGTCGAATTGGATAACGCCATAAGGGCGCGTCGCATCGACGAAGAGGATATGCAAGCTGCATTTGCCCAGTCAAATCTGGCAGGACGTGCTAAGACTTGGGCTTTGGGGCTCAAGTTGCACGACCCATATGCGTTTGGGTCGTTGGAAGTCTTCATGTCGCGGCTCAGACAAACGTTTGAACCGCCTAGAGCTGAGTTCAGAGATCGAACTGAACTCTTGAAGCTCAAGCAGGGTAAGCGTGATGTGTAAGATTACGCTCAACATATGCGACATCTCACGAGTTGTATAAGTTCCAATCCGGTGGATGAACACACGTTGGTTTCGGTGTTCATGCAGGGTCTTGCGGATGGTCCCGTCAAGACTCACCTGTTCCGGCTTGAACTAGATTCACTAGAACAAGCCATTTCCATTGCGGAGCAGGAAGACTTCAGTCGGAGACAGGATCGCGCCAGCTCGACATCATATCGTCAACCGAGACGATATGACAGCGGAGGTCCAGAGCCGATGGAACTCTGTTATGTAGAGAGCGAGAAGGCTCGCTCTACAGGTACTACAAGAAGTTGCAGAGATGCAACAGATGTCAAAAGACAGGAAACTACGCTTACGAGTGTAGTGCCCCTCGTCCAGTGTCTCGCGACACTGGGCGTAGTGACCGTCCACCCATGAGAAAGGGGCAGGGACGAGGGTCCGCAGTTGGTGCAAAGACGCAACAACGGGATGGACCGTCAAAAACGGACGTCAGGATCAGTAGGTGCGGAGCACCCTACTGGTCCAGCAACGTCAAGAGAATTTGTAGGCCTCTTGATGAAGGTTGCTCCCAACACACAAACGTTGTGCGTTGCTGCTCTAGGTAATGAGATCTCACTCATTACCTTGAAACTCGATGTGACAAATAAGTTGTCTCTTCGAGCTCTAGTCGATTGTGGGGCGTCCAACAATTTTGTGCAACGCCAATCGCTAGAAGATGGTCATTTTAAGTTCAGTGAATGTGACACACCTCCTACGAGGATGACGGTACGTCCTGCGACAGGCGCATCCGTAACCGTCACGAAGCGTATAGTGAAGATCCACTATACGCTAGAAGATACCCAATATGACGATGACTTTATCGTATTGGATTTGAATGACAAATTTGATGTCATCCTTGGAATGCCGTGGCTCAGAAGGTACGAACCACGAGTAAACTGGCAACATCGAACAGTAACGATGCCTGCCGCTTGTTCATCAGATGGCCATCTGATGAACGTTTTGGAGCGTCCAGAAGCGTGTGGATGTACTACGAGTGAGTGCGATGGCCTCACTTGTGGTACGGTCGTTAGTACGACTGCACAAAACCTTAGTGTACCAAACGGTTACACTTCGGAGCAAAGTTCCGGCGGCTGTGAGGAAACACAGGCTGCGCCGAAGGTCCACCACTCGAATAAGTCGGGTGGACTGGGACAAAGATGTATCCCTAGCGGGGAACATCTAGAAGAGAAACAATCGATCGCTCAGGTTAAGCGAAACGATAATCCTAGATCGACTGGAGAGTCTTTCGTAGAGGATCTCGCTGTGGTTGCGCAACCCCAGCTAGAGGAAGTTAAGGGAATAAGTCCCGATATAACAAATACGGCAGAAATAAGTTCCCCGAAACCCGCGGGAATAAGTCCCCGGGAAGCCGAAGGAATAAGTCCTTCGAAGCCTGAGGGAATGAGTCCCCAGGAAATGACAGAGACATTGAATGTCATAGTCAATAACGGATCAAGTGTAGGCGCTTATACACTTGATCTGATTGCGCCTCCGAAGTTAACTTCGGAGATCACTCAGTTGCCAACGCTCGAACATAAAAGGTTCTTGCGTGATCTGCGTAGTGGCAAAGTCAAGCAGATCTGCATACTCGTCGCTGACGACGAGTGTGTAACCGACATAAGGTCAGCAACAGTGTTTACTGAGAACGAGAGAGTTCTCAGTAGTTCATCTATGGACGAGAGTGTCCTCGATGAAAAGACACGAATTGAGCGATATGAGTCCCAATCATGGGAATCGATCAAGGAAAATCCTCTCTATGAAGATTTGGTTGAATTCAAGGATGTATTGCCTGAAACTGTTCCGTGCGAATTACCGAAGGATAAAGGTATTCGACACGAAGTCGAGCTTAAACCAGGCTCGAAGTACTGTGTCATGAAGCAGTGGCCACTGCCTCGTGAGCAAGTACTTGCGATCGACAAGTTCTTTGCCGATCGTTTAGCAGCGGGCCATGTGAGGGAATCAACTTCCCCACATAGCTCTCCGACCTTCTGTTTGCGAAAAGCAACAGGAGGGTGGCGGATAGTGCACGCGTTCAACAAATTGAACGCTGCAACGGTACCGGCTCAGACGCCGATACCGAGGAAGGACGTAATCATTGATGGTATGTCAAACAGTACCATCTTTTCGTCCATGGATTTGATGGATGGCTTCTATCAAATCCTAATGCGAGAACGGGGTATACCCTGTACCGCAGTTAGCACGCCTAGCGGCATGCTCTGGGAATGGCTAGTAATGCCACAAAGGCTCAGTAATGCCCCTGCCACGTTCAACAGATGTGTATCACATCTGTTGAGACCAGTACGAGAATTCGCGCCGAGTTCTTGCGATGACGTATTCATCCATAGTCGAGCTATGGATGGAAAGTCGGACGTTGAGGTTCACAGGTACCACGTCCGACAAGTTCTTACAATCATGCGAAAGCATCAATTGTATGCTAACCTCAAGAAGTGTATATTTGCAGCAAGCGAAATACCACTTCTTGGGTGCATCGTTGGTAAGAACGGTGTACGTCCTGATCCCGAAAAGATCAAGGCGATCACCGACTGGCCTGTGCCGGTCGATGTCAAAGGTCTTCGAAAATTTCTTGGGCTAGCGGCGTATTTGCATAAGTATTCACGCAATTACGCCGAGATGACTGTACACCTCTCTCGTTTGTTGAAAAAGAACGAGAGGTGGTTACGGATCGCTGAATGTAAGCGCTCCTATGATGGTATCAAGCAGTGCTTGATACAATCCCCAGTCCCAGCAATTGCCGATCAGGACAGGCCACTTCATGTGGTCTATGATGCCAGCGATTTCGCAATCGGCTGTGCATTAATTCAGTACGACCTCGAAGGCGTAGAACGCTTCGTCTGCTATCAGTCGCGTCAGCTGCAACCAGCTGAGCGGAACTACCCAGTGCATGACAAGGAACTCCTTGCCTTGAAGTATGCACTCGCGAATTTCAGAGTCTATCTATTAGGAGATGGACCCTTCATTGTTTACACTGACCATGCGTCATTACGCACGGCAGTGAACAGCCCGCACCTTTCACAACGAATGGCGCGGTGGTTGTCATTCTTTGCAGAATACAACTTTACGGTCGAGTACAAACCAGGACGACTTAATGTCGTTGCTGATGCACTCTCACGTCGTTCCGACTTTGAACCAGTCGTGAAACCCAACAGTGAGACAGTCACTGTTGCGGTTATGACGTCCTCAGTCCCATCTACAACGTTGTATGGTGATGTGAGGCGGGCATACGCCCAAGATGGTGAGATTGTGAAGTTGTTGACACATCTCTCACAGCCATCTCGAGAATCGTTGAAACGATTATCGTCTGCGTATCGATCTGCATCAGATACATACACGACTCACGATAGTTTACTGTATTATACAGCCGTTACTGGTGACACACCACGTGTTGTCATTCCAGATGATACTGATCTGCGTTTGCGAATCATGTTCGAGTATCACGATGCTCCTATAATAGGACATTGTGGCCGTCAGAAAACATATCTCACGGTAAGTCGAGACTTTTACTGGCCGCGCCAGTATCAGTTTGTGCACAAGTATGTTCGCGCATACGAAGTCTGTCAACGAGTGATGTCAAGTCCTTCACTGCGTGCACCTTTACAGCCTCTACCGGTTCCGGCTGAGTGCTGGGAATCCATCTCAATGGATTTTGTCTTCGGGTTACCCAAAGACGCACGCGGGAATACGGGTATTCTCGTTTTTGTTGACAGATTCAGCAAAATGGTACACCTTGTGGCTTTACCCGAGACAATAACGGCTAGTGGCTGTGCTTGTGTCTATATCGACACCATCTTCCGACTTCATGGGTTGCCCCGTGAACTCGTATCAGACAGAGATCCACGCTTCACTGCTGATTTCTGGCGTTACGTGTTCAAATCACTCGGAACGCGCTTGAAGATGTCGACATCTGATCATCCAGAGTCAGATGGTCAGACGGAACGTGCCAATCGTGTCCTTGAAGAGATACTTCGAGGATACTTACACTCCTTTAAGAGTTGGAGTGAGTTTTTGCCAATGGTAGAGTTCGCCATTAACAACTCGGTGCATGCGTCCACGACACATATACCATTTTACGTGAATGGCTTGCGCCATCCGCGTGTACCCACCTTACTAGAGTGTAACTCTGGTTTAAGGGGGGAGGGACTCGCGCGAGCAAAAACCGAATTGGTTCACGCTCATCACGCTCTGACGAAGAGGTCATTGGGTTTGATGCCGATATCGATGGCATCGATATCGAAGAAGATGATGCCAGTGAGAGCGAGGAAGCCCTCACTGAAGAAACGTTGGATATCGCTGCTGTGCACTCACAACGCACTGAAGCTAACGAGTCAGCAGATGAGTTCATACTGGCTCGTGAAACGGTAGTCCGTTCTGTGCAAGATTCCATCGCCGAAGCGGTGGATAAGCAAAAGCAAAACGCTGACAAGAATGGAAGGGAAAACGCTCTTTTATTCAATAAAGGTGACTTAGTCCTACTGTCTACGGTTGATCTACCAAAGCATGTAGTGACTAACGTGGGTAGTAGTAAACTACTACCCAAGTACATCGGCCCATTTCGTGTATTGCATCGCCTAGGCAACGCATACACGTTTAAATTGCCACGTAAGATGCGAACGCATCCCACGTTTTACGTTGTTCGGCTTAAGCCGTACCATCAGTACGCTGCTTCTTCCGATGAAAAACGCCCTTGCGCTCAAGCGTCTTGCAGAGGGCCTTGTGCTCCCGATGGTGGACATCGACAAGGGTCTGAAGAGCAGTTATCTCAGCCCAAGACCGGTCTATATCCACACGAGCTACCCTTAACTCGTCACGAAGAGGTGTCAGAGATCTCTCGTTCTCAAGCTGAGCAAAGGCAAACTCAGCTGGATGCTTCAAGACAGTGTCCGCCATTTGGAGACGCCTGTCCCGCTCATGTTCGAAATCGCCGCGTAACCCTTGCGTTACGCTATCAAAGAAGCTCTCGGGAACACACGGATCCCCACGATTGTGTGGAGAGCGTCTCCCCTCCTCCTCCACCTCCATTAGAGGACTCTCGCGGTGACTAGCGCTATCTAGTTGAGCAGCTGTTGAACCACCGCGACGTGAACGGACGTCGGACGAGTTACCTCGTCTGGTGGCGCAGCTGTCTCCCGTCCTGGGATACTTGGGAGCCCCGCTCCCAGCTGATGATTGACGTAATGGGTCTGGTCTAGCAGTACGACGCGGCACATCCTGTGCCGCAGAAGGACCACCGGAGAATGTCTTCCCGGCACGGTCGTAAAGGGATTTCAGGTTGTCAATCCCTTTGTATATCTCAGTAGAGATACGTACGCGACACCACGGGCTAGTAAGGAGGTAAGCCTCCTTAGGTGCTCGTGCAGAGTTGTTCACTCAGAATGGGCACGAGTCTCCCTAAGAGAGGCAGGGTAATCCTTTCTCCCTTGACAGACGATGCAGCTTATAGCGTGCACCAGTCGGGGTTCGCTTTTCAAACTTATCACGAGCTTTGATAAGTTTGTCGTTCCAAGCGTCACGACCTACATCCTCAAGGTTATGGATGTAGGTGTTCCACGCTTGAAGCAGTGAGGGACCATCACGTTTGTGATTCCACTGTACCATCGATGTCTAAAGAAAGCATCGATGAAGAATTCATGCTCAGTGAGATAGTTCTTCGCACTGGGGTCAAGGTGATGGATCCTTGACGAATCGAACAACCTTGTTCGATAACGATCACTCATCGTCGCCGACAAGTGATCCATGATAGATTTAGGAGGCATCCATGCCTTCTTTTCAGGAGCTAGATGCAAGACATTGCGGTCCCGCTCTTCCTGCGACGTGCCGACAGAAGTACTGGCACCTCGCTGTGAAGTGGTGTCAATAGGACAACCGACACCACTGTGAGCGCCCGCGACTTGCAATCTCGAGCGCATTCGCTTTGGCGATGGTTCATCTGATTCGTCAGATGAACCAAAGATGCTACGACGTGTAGCATCATCCATGCCACGCTTGGCAGGCGGCTGGGATTCGATAGCCGTCGATACGGATACGTCTTCCGTATCAGGTGAGCATGAGGCACCGAGCTCATACTCTGTGAAGACATGAGTGTCTTCATGACGAGCGTCTGCATCTACAGGTGATACAGGCTGAGTCGCTTTAGCAACCGATGAGACATCAGTTGCTGCGGTTTCTGCTTCGGCATCCGCACAGAGACGTGCAGACGCGCTCTCGGCAGCCTTGCTCGCGCATCGCATGGGCTTGTTAACCATGCGATGAAACTGATGGACTGTGGACTCGGACCAACAAGTGTAAACCCTGTACCAAATGACCAAATTTGGGACGAGTATCCACTAGTCAATCAGTCGCTAAAGTGACTTATAATTAAGGGGGGGGGTGATGTAACGGGGCGAATTGTTACATAACGATTTTTAAGAAATTGTTAATAGAATATAACTATCAGAGTTACATTCTCAGAATATTGTCATAAGGACAAATATTCTGTATCACCTACGAGTAGTTCCTAATTGGTTGATATAGGCCATTATATCAACCAACGGAGACGCGCCACGACAGACGCACGCAATGAGTGGTGAGCAGATAGTTGATATGCACATTTGTCTTCAGACATAGTTAGATGAAGATAAATAGTGATTTATTGCAGACATTAACTATGATAAATACAGATCTACTTTTTACTTTAATCAAGTACTCGCTTCTTCTTACCGTCTTCCTCTGCACGTACGAGTGTACGTGAAGTTTCGAGGCAACGCCTTATTCTGTCGTCAGAATAAGTAGCTTGTACTGTCATCAGTACAAGCTTCAGGGTGCCCCGTTACACTACAGGTTTCCACCTAATCATGCATCACCTCTGAAAATCCTCTTAAGTCCTCTGCCACTCCAGAAAGTCTTGAGGTCCGCAAGTATTGATGCAGCATGTCGAAAAGGGACGGGCGGTGTGGACACGCTAGGGTCCTCCTTGCTAACACCTGGAGCACCCTTCGCTTCAACTCTATCCCCCATGACTCTGCTATTTAACAATTTTATTCAAAAATTTGGCGACCCCTGCCACATAAATATAGGAGACTCTATTGTACTAATTAATGGGCGCCACAGCAGCGAAATAACTCGGGGAAAACTCGAGATTTAATTATTTTTTCGTTTTCCCGCTTACGTTTTGTAGTATTGTGACAACCGATTTACCTTTTTTGGCTGCATGTCATGGGCTCAGGATTTTGAGATCAATTAGGTCTTTGGCGAAGATTAATTGCATGTCGTTGGCTCCATTTGATTGAAAAAACGATGATTTGAAGTCGACGACTTGGTAAAAATGGCACTAGCTGCATTGTACAGTTGAGTTTCACTGAGGACCAATAAAACACACCAAGGCGACCACAACTTTACCAGTTAGGATAAGCCGAAAAGAGCTTTTATATAGTTTTACGAACTGCTGTGAAGTTTGGAATATAAGTTTTGGAGGATATGAGAGTGGTCCTTTCTTAACGCACAAAACATTATGCTATACTCACTGCTAGAAACGCTCTTAGTACGAATACAAGTGGGAGATAGTTGGATATTTTGGAGTGACCGATAGGGCGGACTCGTTCTTTTGAATTAGAACTTAGGGATAAACAACACAAATATACAAAAGTTGACTGGGTTTCAGAATAGAAAAAAACGTTAGAGATCACAATGGATTATCGCAAGAATAGGTTTCACACATGTGTTTAGTAGACTACGGGTGAAAAATGCACGAATGCGCGACGGGACCACCTGGTGGCGTTTTTAATTTTTGAATCGACGAGAAGAACGATGTGAGATTTCGCTTTGACTAAACTAGTACCGAGTACATACCATTTTCGCTTCATCAGCTATTTAATACAAACGTCATTTAATTTTGGACCAGCATTTGTCGTAAGATCGTATTCGTGTGGGAGGACAAGGCAGTACATGCTTTTACGTAAACCATAGCGTCATATAGCTCGGACACGGCAAAGGCATGACTATGGCATTGGTGCGGACATATAATAGTGCTTGAGCCTAGAAAAAAATGCATTTTCTGAGGCTCGTGGATGCATTAGCACGGAAGTTTTATGCGAGACTCTAGGTTAAGATAGGGGAGAAATCTCTGGAGCTCGCCCTTTAGCATACGTAATATAGTTTATAGAATTAAATCCAATTGCAAAACATTATGCGACAGCACTCACTATAGAAAGAATATGATGCTGTTACTGTCTCTATTAAATCAGTACAGTATATTTAGTAACATGGCAGGCCTTTTCTTGTGAGCGTCATGCATTTACTTATGTGATCATATTCACCTTAAATCCATCTATGTTTGATCACGTGCGAGCATCATGATAGCGACCTAGTGTAACGGGGTTACACGGCGGTTATTGAACAGTTATGCTTTGTGTCCGCACCAAGTAAAGATTGTTGGATCTGAGTAGTACAGTATTGGTACCATGTACTTACGGTAATACCGCACCTTATCGACTAAAACTAAAAGATAAGAATTTAGTCGTAGGATCGCAATTTAAAAGTCAGTAAAACAAGTATTTAGGGTTCTATAATCGTAGTTAAAGAATGAATAAAGCATAGTTCCCCTTTTGAATCGCTGGACACGAGTGCCTCGTAAAGGTATATTGTGTTGTTAAAAGCATTCGCCCTTTAAAGGCGTTTACTCTTGCTTATATAGTAGTTAAAAGTTAGTTAGTGTGTGAATCTGCGAATCCGTAATCCTTTGTAACCGGTAGTATTAAGCTTGTACGCTTGAACAATTGTAAGTCGTCGTAGATTTATTATTAATAAAAGGTTCTTCGAGTCCAGGACTTCCGCTGTAAAAAAGTGCTAAGTAGCTCCGTTACACTCAGACTTCTCCTGTAACGGGGCACTCTGAAGCTTGTACTGATGACAGTACAAGCTACTTATTCTGACGACAGAATAAGGCGTTGCCTCGAAACTTCACGTACACTCGTACGTGCAGAGGAAGACGGTAAGAAGAAGCGAGTACTTGATTAAAGTAAAAAGTAGAACTGTATTTATCATAGTTAATGTCTGCAATAAATCACTATTTATCCTCATCTAACTATGTCTGAAGACAAATGTGCATATCAACTATCTGATCACCACTCATTGCGTGCGTCTGTCGTGGATTGTCTTCGTTGGTTGATATAATGGCCTATATCAACCAATTAGGAACTACTCGTAGGTGCTACAGAATATTTGTCCTTATGACAATATTCTGAGAATGTAACTCTGATAGTTATATTCTATTAACAATTTCTTAAAAATCGTTATGTAACAATTCGCCCCGTTACATCACCCCCCCTTAATTATAAGTCACTTTAGCGACTGATTGACTAAATGGAAACTCGTCCTAAATCATTTGGGACAGGGTTTGCATTTGTTGGTCCGAGTCCACAGTCCATCAGTTTCATCGCATGGTTAACAAGCCCATGCGATGCGCGAGCAAGGCTGCCGAGAGCGCGTCTGCACGTCTCTGTGCGGATGCCGAAGCAGAAACCGCAGCAACTGATGTCTCATCGGTTGCTAAAGCGACTCAGCCTGTATCACCTGTAGATGCAGACGCTCGTCATGAAGACACTCATGTCTTCACAGAGTATGAGCTCGGTGCCTCATGCTCACCTGATACGGAAGACGTATCCGTATCGACGGCTATCGAATCCCAGCCGCCTGCCAAGCGTGGCATGGATGATGCTACACGTCGTAGCATCTTTGGTTCATCTGACGAATCAGATGAACCATCGCCAAAGCGAATGCGCTCGAGATTGCAAGTCGCGGGCGCTCACAGTGGTGTCGGTTGTCCTATTGACACCACTTCACAGCGAGGTGCCAGTACTTCTGTCGGCACGTCGCAGGAAGAGCGGGACCGCAATGTCTTGCATCTAGCTCCTGAAAAGAAGGCATGGATGCCTCCTAAATCTATCATGGATCACTTGTCGGCGACGATGAGTGATCGTTATCGAACAAGGTTGTTCGATTCGTCAAGGATCCATCACCTTGACCCCAGTGCGAAGAACTATCTCACTGAGCATGAATTCTTCATCGATGCTTTCTTTAGACATCGATGGTACAGTGGAATCACAAACGTGATGGTCCCTCACTGCTTCAAGCGTGGAACACCTACATCCATAACCTTGAGGATGTAGGTCGTGACGCTTGGAACGACAAACTTATCAAAGCTCGTGATAAGTTTGAAAAGCGAACCCCGACTGGTGCACGCTATAAGCTGCATCGTCTGTCAAGGGAGAAAGGATTACCCTGCCTCTCTTAGGGAGACTCGTGCCCATTCTGAGTGAACAACTCTGCACGAGCACCTAAGGAGGCTTACCTCCTTACTAGCCCGTGGTGTCGCGTACGTATCTCTACTGAGATATACAAAGGGATTGACAACCTGAAATCCCTTTACGACCGTGCCGGGAAGACATTCTCCGGCGGTCCTTCTGCAGCACATGATGTGCCGCGTCGTACTGCTAGACCAGACCCATTACGTCAATCATCAGCTGGGAGCGGGGCTCCCAAGTATCCCAGGACGGGAGACAGCCGCGCCACCAGACGAGATAACTCGTCCGACGTCCGTTCACGTTGCGGTGGTTCAACAGCTGCTCAACTAGATAGCGCTGGACACCGCGAGAGTTCTCTAATGGAGGTGGTGGAGGAGGGAAGACGCTCTCTCCACACAATCGTTGGGAAGCATGTATTCCCGAGAGCTTCTTTGATAGCGTAACGCAGCGTTCCGCGGCGATTTCGAACATGAGCGGGACAGGCATCTCCAACTGGCGGACACTGTCTTGAAGCATCCAGCTGAGTTTGCCTTTGCTCAGCTTGAGAACGAGAGATCTCTGACACCTCTTCGTGACGAGTTAAGGGTAGCTCGTGTGGATATAGACCGGTCTTGGGCTGAGATAACTGCTCTTCAGACCCTTGTCGATGTCCACCATCGGGAGCACAAGGCCCTCTGCAAGACGCTTGAGCGCAAGGGCGTTTTTCATCGGAAGAAGCAGCGTACTGATGGTACGGCTTAAGCCGAACAACGTAAAACGTGGGATGCGTTCGCATCTTACGTGGCAATTTAAACGTGTATGCGTTGCCTAGGCGATGCAATACACGAAATGGGCCGATGTACTTGGGTAGTAGTTTACTACTACCCACGTTAGTCACTACATGCTTTGGTAGATCAACCGTAGACAGTAGGACTAAGTCACCTTTATTGAATAAAAGAGCGTTTTCCCTTCCATTCTTGTCAGCGTTTTGCTTTTGCTTATCCACCGCTTCGGCGATGGAATCTTGCACAGAACGGACTACCGTTTCACGAGCCAGTATGAACTCATCTGCTGACTCGTTAGCTTCAGTGCGTTGTGAGTGCACAGCAGCGATATCCAACGTTTCTTCAGTGAGGGCTTCCTCGCTCTCACTGGCATCATCTTCTTCGATATCGATGCCATCGATATCGGCATCAAACCCAATGACCTCTTCGTCAGAGCGTGATGAGCGTGAACCAATTCGGTTTTTGCTCGCGCGAGTCCCTCCCCCCTTAAACCAGAGTTACACTCTAGTAAGGTGGGTACACGCGGATGGCGCAAGCCATTCACGTAAAATGGTATATGTGTCGTGGACGCATGCACCGAGTTGTTAATGGCGAACTCTACCATTGGCAAAAACTCACTCCAACTCTTAAAGGAGTGTAAGTATCCTCGAAGTATCTCTTCGAGGACACGATTGGCACGTTCCGTCTGACCATCTGACTCTGGATGATCAGATGTAGACATCTTCAAGCGCGTTCCGAGTGATTTGAACACGGACCGCCAGAAATCAGCAGTGAATCGTGGATCTCTGTCTGATACGAGTTCACGGGGCAACCCATGAAGTCGGAAGATGGTGTCGATATAGACACAAGCACAGCCACTAGCCGTTATTGTCTCGGGTAAAGCCACAAGGTGTACCATTTTGCTGAATCTGTCAACAAAAACGAGAATACCCGTATTCCCGCGTGCGTCTTTGGGTAACCCGAAGACAAAATCCATTGAGATGGATTCCCAGCACTCAGCCGGAACCGGTAGAGGCTGTAAAGGTGCACGCAGTGAAGGACTTGACATCACTCGTTGACAGACTTCGTATGCGCGAACATACTTGTGCACAAACTGATACTGGCGCGGCCAGTAAAAGTCTCGACTTACCGTGAGATATGTTTTCTGACGGCCACAATGTCCTATTATAGGAGCATCGTGATACTCGAACATGATTCGCAAACGCAGATCAGTATCATCTGGAATGACAACACGTGGTGTGTCACCAGTAACGGCTGTATAATACAGTAAACTATCGTGAGTCGTGTATGTATCTGATGCAGATCGATACGCAGACGATAATCGTTTCAACGATTCTCGAGATGGCTGTGAGAGATGTGTCAACAACTTCACAATCTCACCATCTTGGGCGTATGCCCGCCTCACATCACCATACAACGTTGTAGATGGGACTGAGGACGTCATAACCGCAACAGTGACTGTCTCACTGTTGGGTTTCACGACTGGTTCAAAGTCGGAACGACGTGAGAGTGCATCAGCAACGACATTAAGTCGTCCTGGTTTGTACTCGACCGTAAAGTTGTATTCTGCAAAGAATGACAACCACCGCGCCATTCGTTGTGAAAGGTGCGGGCTGTTCACTGCCGTGCGTAATGACGCATGGTCAGTGTAAACAATGAAGGGTCCATCCCCTAATAGATAGACTCTGAAATTCGCGAGTGCATACTTCAAGGCAAGGAGTTCCTTGTCATGCACTGGGTAGTTCCGCTCAGCTGGTTGCAGCTGACGCGACTGATAGCAGACGAAGCGTTCTACGCCTTCGAGGTCGTACTGAATTAATGCACAGCCGATTGCGAAATCGCTGGCATCATAGACCACATGAAATGGCCTATCCTGATCGGCTATTGCTAGGACTGGGGATTGTATCAAGCTCTGCTTGATACCATCAAAGGAGCGCTGACATTCAGCGTTCCATAACCACCTCTCGTTCTTTTTCAACAAACGAGAGAGGTGCACAGTCATCTCGGCGTAATTGCGTGATTGCTTGTGCAAATACGCCGCTAGCCCAAGGAATTTTCGAAGACCTTTGACATCAACTGGCACAGGCCAGTCGGCGATCGCCTTGATCTTTTCGGGGTCAAGACGTACACTGTTCTTATCAACGATGCGCCCAAGAAGTGATATTTCGCTTGATACAAATATACACTTCTTGAGGTTTGCATACAATTGATGCTTTCGCATGATTGTAGGAACCTGTCGGACGTGGTACCTGTGAACCTCAACGTCCGACTTTCTATCCATAGCTCGACTATAGATGAGTAAGTCATCGAAATAACTCGGCGCGAATTCTCGTACTGGTCTCAACAGATGTGATGCACATCTGTTGAACGTGGCAGGGGCATTACTGAGCCCTTGTGGCATTACTAGCCATTCCCAGAGCATGCCGCTAGGCGTGCTAACTGCGGTACAGGGTATACCCCGTTCTCGCATAAGGATTTGATAGAAGCCATCCATCAAATCCATGGACGAAAAGATGGTACTCTTTGACATACCATCAATGAATACGTCCTTCCTCGGTATCGGCGTCTGAGCCGGTATCGTTGCAGCATTCAACTTGTTAAATGCATGCACTATCCGCCACCCTCCTGTTGAATTACGCACACAGAAGGTCGGAGACCTATGTGGGATATTTATTTCCCTCACATGGCCCGCAGCTAAACGATCGGCAAAGAACTTGTCGATCGCAGGTACTTGTTCACGAGGCAGTGGCCACTGCTTCATGACACAGTATTTCGAGCCTGGTTTAAGCTCGACCTCGTGTCGAATACCTTTATCCTTCGGTAATTCGCACGGAACAGTTTCAGGGAATACGTCCTTGAATTCAACCAAATCTTCATAGAGAGGATTTGTCTTGGGCGATTCGCACGATCGGGAGTCATATCGCTCAATTCGTGTCTTTTCATCTAGGACACTCTCGTCCATAGGTGAACTACTGAGAACTATCTCGTTCTCAGTAAACCTGTTGCTGACCTTATGTCGGCTACACACTCGTCGTCAGAGACGAGTACGCAGATCTGCTTGACTTTGCCACTACGCAGATCACGCAAGAATCTTTTATGTTCGAGCGTTGGCAACTGAGTGATCTCTGAAGTCAACTTCGGAGGCGTAACCAGATCAAGTGTATAAGCGCCTACACATGATCCGTTATTGACTAGGACATTCAATGTCTCTGTCATTTCCTGGGGACTTAATCCCTCAGGCTTCGAAGGACTTATTCCTTCGGCTCCCGGGGACTTATTCCCGCGGGGTTCGGGGAACTTATTTCCACCGTATTTGTAATATCGGGACTTATTCCATTAATTTCCTCTAGTTGGGGTTGCGCAACCACAGCGAGATCCTCTACGAAAGACTCTCCAGTCGATCTAGGATTATCGTTTCGCTTAACCTGAGCGATCGATTGTTTCTCTTCTAGATGTTCCCCGCTAGGGATACATCTTTGTCCCAGTCCACCCGACTTAATCGAGTGGTGGACCTTCGGCGCAGCCTGTGTTTCCTCACAGCTGCCGGAACTTTGCTCCGAAGTGTAACCGTTTGGTACACTAAGGTTTTGTGCAGTCGTACTAACGACCGTACCACAAGTGTGGCCATCGCACTCACTCGTAGTACATCCACACGCTTGTAGACGCTCCAAAACGTTCATCAGATGGTCATCTGATGAACAAGTGGCATGCATCGTTACTGTTCGATGTTGCCAGTTTACCCGTGGTTCGTACCTTCTGAGCCACGGTATTCCAAGGATGACATTAAATTTGTCATTCAAATCCAATACGATAAAGTCATCGTCATATTGGGTATCTTCTAGCGTATAGTGGATCTTCACTATACGCTTCGTGACGGTTACGGATGCGCCTGTCGCAGGACGTACCGTCATCCTCGTAGGAGGTGTGTCACATTCACTGAACTTAAAATGACCATCTTCTAGCGATTGGCGTTGCACAAAATTGTTGGATGCCCCACAATCGACTAGAGCTCGAAGAGACAACTTATTTGTCACATCGAGTTTCAAGGTAATGAGTGAGATCTCATTACCTAGAGCAGCAACGCACAACGTTTGTGTGTTGGGAGCAACCTTCATCAAGAGGCCTACAAATTCTCTTGACGTTGCTGGACCAGTAGGGTGCTCCGCACCTACTGATCCTGTCCGTTTTTTGACGGTCCATCCCGTTGTTGCGTCTTTGCACCAACAGCGGACCCTCGTCCCTGCCCCTTTCTCATGGGTGGACGGTCACTACGCCCAGTGTCGCGAGACACTGGACGAGGGGCACTACACTCGTAAGCGTAGTGTCCTGTCTTTTGACATCTGTTGCATCTCTGCAACTTCTTGTAGTATGTAGAGCGAGCCTTCTCGCTCTCTACATAACAGAGTTCCATCGGCTCTGGACCTCCGCTGTCATATCGTCTCGGTTGACGATATGATGTCGAGCTGGCGCGATCCTGTCTCCGACTGAAGTCTTCCTGCTCCGCAATGGAAATGGCTTGTTCTAGTGAATCTAGTTCAAGCCGGAACAGGTGAGTCTTGACGGGACCATCCGCAAGACCCTGCATGAACACCGAAACAAACGTGTGTTCATCCACCGGATTGGAACTTATACAACTCGTGAGATGTCGTATATGTTGCGCGTAAGCGTGCACATCACGCTTACCCTGCTTGAGCTTCAAGAGTTCAGTTCGAGCTCTGAACTCAGCTCTAGGCGGTTCAAATGTTTGTCTGAGCCGCGACTTGAAGACTTCCAACGACCCAAACGCATATGGGTCGTGCAACTTGAGTCCCCAAAGCCCAAGTCTTGGCACGTCCTGCCAGATTTGATTGGGCAAATGCTACTTGCATTTCCTCGTCGTCGATGCGACGCGCCCTTATGGCGTCATTTAATTCGACGAACCATCTCAAGAGGGAGTCCTCTTCGACTCCCCTATACTTGGAGATGTCAATCGTCAAGGTCTCGGGTCGACGCGAGTGCATCGACCCACCAGCAGCAGCCTGCTGCTGTCTCAACAGTTCAAACTGTTGAGCACCTTGTTCTCTCAACAACTCTGCTTGTTGAGAACCTTGTTGGTGAAGCAAGGCTACTTTCTCGCGTTCAGCGTCAAGTTCGTTTTGAATGAACTTGGCGATAGTAGCATGTTGGGCATCTCTATTGAGAGCCTCTAGCATGACGCTAACAGCATGGATGCCCATGGTTGAACCCATTCGTTCAACCGCATCCCATTCGACATCGCTCAAATGGGAGTAGCCGTCACGCGTAGCGTGAAAGCTTTGGTCATCTTCATCATCCAACATGTTCATGTTGGATGTGAACGTGGTCCTTGGACGGACTACGAAGTGCTACCAGGTGTAACGGGGCACCCTGAAGCTTGTACTGATGACAGAATAAGGCGTTGCCTCGAAACTTCACGTACACTCGTACGTGCAGAGAAAGACGGTAAGCAGAAGCGAGAACTTGGTTAAAGTAAAAAGTAGAACTGTATTCATCATAGTTAATGTCTGCAATAAATCACTATTTATCCTCATCTAACTATGTCTGAAGACAAATGTGCATATCAACTATCTGCTCACCACTCATTGCGTGCGTCTGTCGTGGCTTGTCTTCGTTGGTTGATATAATGGCCTATATCACCAATTAGGAACTACTCGTAGGTGCTACAGAATATTTGTCCTTATGACAATATTCTGAGAATGTAACTCTTATAGTTACATGTATTAACAATTTCTTATAAATTGTTATGTAACGATTCGCCCCGTTACATTTAGAAAAATCCCGCAAGCAACATAGTATGGAGATTTTTATGGCCCTCTGGCAGTTTACGTATGCATATTTGTATAGCGGAAATTTCTCTGGCTATTATAATAAAAATTTAGGGAGCTCTCCGACATTTTGCCCGGTCTTAACTAGGGACTCGACCAAAGGGGACGCAGCCGGTAGATAAGGTGAAGCAAGTGTGTAAAAGGTACGCCACCGAGTCGCAAATTCTGTAAGTCACTGATAGCAGGCATCTGGGCAGTTGAGGTCCTTCCCCGGGTAGAAATGAACCTGCCCAACAAGGGGCTCGACATTCCTTTTCAGAAAGGGAGATTATTAGCTCAGAGATTAAGATATTACGGAGACACTACTGTATAGATTTATAGCGTTTTTGATTAGCCAGGAAATCAAGTCATACTGACTCGGTTCATGCCCTCCAAGAAACATGCGCCTGTCACCAACCGCATCAACCCAGCTATTCAGAGCCGCATACAGCGCCAGTCGCTCTTTGTCAATACCGTATTTCTTCTTCGACCGCTTGGCAATGAGGTACATCACCATTGCCCCGACGTACTTGGACAAGTGACGCTCCATGGACGTGAAGTTTCCAGCGGTCAAGCAATAGTCGAAAGCCTGCAGCGCCTCCGGCAGCGTAGGATAGATATTTTGGGAGGGGTCAAGACAATGAGCTTCTGGTGGACCAATTGGCACCACTGGGCTTCCTCCTCCTGCGGCTCTTTATGCTCAAGCTGGGAGCTTTTAGCTGACACGACTAGGTCCCATAGTCGCGCGATAATTGCCGAAGAGTCCACGACCACGTCATTGTCAATAGTGACAACTGGCACCTTGGCATACTTGGTCACAGCTTTGGTCTCCTTCTTGGTCAGTGGATTGACTTCCACCACGTCGTACGGGAGCTTGAGGTAGTCCAGTACAGCCTTCACCTTGCAGCGATAGGGACACGGTTCGTACTGATAGAGCACCACCTTTGGCACTGCTCTATTCGTATTGACCGTATCCGTAACTGAAGCACCAGTCGAGCAAAAAGCACACGAAGCACTCGTGTTTACTGCAGTAGCGGCCGCAAATCTCCATTTTTGAAGCAATAGCGATGCGGAGCACGAGAATGAGACTGATAGTTAATCGTTGTGGGAACAAAGCGCTTGGGTGCCGATGGACGTGCGAGGGCCAACGACATAGAGCGCAATCCGCAGGCGAGACGTGCGACACTACGATGTAGCATACTTGAGAATGGGTGGTGGAGATTGAGTACTCTTATTAAAAGCCGATGCGGCAGTTACAGCAATTGACCACTGTAATTGAACGTGATAGAGTTGGCCTGTAAAATATCGCACTGTAACTCAATAAGTTGGACTGAGTAGCCACCGAACGCGAATGCATCTGGCTGGACGGACACGCTAAATAAAACATCCCATGGCCGTCAGGCGTAATCGAAATTGCTTCTCGGAACAAACCTTCGTATCGTTACAATGCTGACTTGCTTGTTACAGGATGAGACCATGAACGATTGTGCCAAGTAGTCGAAACTGTCGCACTAGCAGCTCGGCTGAAATTGACCTGGTCAAACCCCTTGGACGAATGAGGTAGGTTCGCCAGCAGGGGTAGCATCATCCAAAAGATTGCATACGCAGTAGCGACTACCATCGAATATCCTACAACTGACGACAACACAAAGGTGTCAAGGACGACCTTCCCTACCTGAAGAGCCGGGGTCGCCACTGTGCTTTCTCGACAGCTATGACAGCACGAAACTATGCCAGCTTCAATTTGAATCGATTGCGGGACAACCGCCGGTAGACACATGCACCGAAGATAGTCTAGTAATCAATCAATCAGTCAGTCATCACTGTCTCGTTACCACCACGACCATTGACCACCTGTCAGCATTCACCACGCACATTGCGGGAAACAAGCAGGAACGATCGCCTAGTCGGTAGAACAGTGCTGGAAGACGCTGCACGTTTCGTCCACTTTAGTCTCCTTCAACGTCGATTCGAACCAGCTTGCTGGACTGATGTAATCTCTCGATATCGCGACCGCTACGAGCGGCACGCTGTACAGCTTAGCTGTCTCCTAGCTCTTTTTTCAGCATAATAGATCCAGAAGATCTGGTAGTCACCACCACCACCAAAACCACCAAAACCACCACCACCTTCATTTGTTGAGCTTTAAGCGGTCAGCTTTCACAAAGAGCTCATCCGACCATTAGTCGCAGCTTTGTACTCTTCCTGCTGGTTGGTGCTGCTTGACTGACCGACGCCTTGAATGTCTTTCGTCTCACATATCAGTAGTCCCATCGCCGAGATCGAACTCGCAAGTCTTTTTAGCACCGACGCCCTCGCGTCAGTTCCGAATTCCTTCCATTCATACAGCAGCTCCTCATCAAGCGAGAGACTTGGGGAGTCAGGGCTGCTGCAAAAGTCTTGTCTCAATGGACACGATGGATGCGTCCCTCAAGCTGGACGTGACACTCCTGGACAACAGTCTCGTCAAACCAAGACCACTTCACCCCGAACCGACGTCACTGTCGAAGCCACAATCAAGTCGGCGACTCCCTCCTGACGTCCGACGAGCTCGCCATCGGGATCGAATGCAGCGCCAACGTCTCTCGGAGAAGAAAAGTATCGAGCTCAAGCGTCTTGAGGTCGACAGTCTGTCACAAGAGTTGACCCGTGTGACGAAGTCGCTGTTTAAAGAGCTTCCGGGGGACACGTGTTCACTTGAAGACCTTGAGTCGACGTCCTGTTGTTTCAAAAACGAGGACCACAAGCTAGAACTTGAGAGTGAGGAGCTCTGGAACATGGATCCGAGTGTAGCTGCTCGAGTGGTGCAGCACCGATATGTGCATCTCGTGCTGCAACAAGGGACGATCGCGAAGGAGAATCGACGATTGACCGAACGCTTTCGTGAATGGCAGCGATTTATGAAACTCATAGCAGTTGAGGAAGAGCGATTACAGCCGACGGAAGCCATAGCTCTCAAGGACAAGCTGGAGCAAGAACGTGAACAAGTTGTCGCAGGACAATGGCTGACGTTTATCCACGGAGAGCCAGTTCTGTTTTACCAGCCGATTTCAAGGAACGCGTGCCACGAACTCATGTATACGGGGTACCAACGAATGCAGGAATTATCATGGGGACCGGGTGCCAGGGATCTCTATAATGAAGCTTTTGGCTGGAAAGTGTGCTTTTCCATGTATCAGGACCACAGTGAGGTGGGCGATGGTGTGCGAAAGGCACAGATGCAACATCGATTTTTCAAGAAAATTAGTGCCATTGACGCTAATGGAGAACGCGTTAACGGTGACACGTTGGCGCAAGTGACGTGGAAAATCATCAGTACGCCGGAACTTTATTCGCAAATGTATCGCACTCCCTTGACGTCAAAGATTTTGCAATGAGTGGACGCACGCACGAGTGTCCTGATGCGGACATTTCCAGATGAAAACGCCGTCATGAGCATGCGCTTTGTGTGTTTGGTTGCGGAAGTGCACGACTGCGTCATTATCGACAGCTCTGATGCGATCGACACGACCTTAGAAGGCAATGCTCGACGTCGCGTGACGATCATGAGCTCGCTCTTTGATCCGAACAAAGTGTTTCCTTACATCGACACCCACGTACCTGATGCGACATTTGAGTGGATGCGGGACGGCCTAAGCTACCTATCGTTCACTGAATATAACGATGAGGAAATGATAGAGATCGAGTATGGTGGATTGATGCACGTGTGTCGCGAGACAGCGTCTTGCACAGGTTTGCCTTTTGCTGCTATGAACATAGGGGAGGCACTTGTACGCTGGGAACAATTCGTCACTCCTATGCGCACGTTGTTACTGTCTGATAAATAATGTAAAGTTCTTGTCATCTACATTGAAAGTGGCATACAGTGTGAGCACGGTACTTGCTGTCAAATAGAAGTGCATTGCAACATAAAAGTGAGTAGTACGTCAACCGATCTATGTCCTTACAAGCAAGTGGTACATGTATTCTACCGCCAATGTTGCAACTTCAAACTAAGCTTGTAAGGGATTCAATTTGCTGCATATGCACTGCAGCTGACATTCCCGACATAAAAGTGTTCACCTGTCATTACTAATCGTGTTAACGAGCCGGTGCACCCGTCAGTCTTAATTTTCCTCGACATAGTTGTGATCTATGTTGCTTGCAAATGTTAAAAAAGAATACACTTGCAACCAATACATACTGATATGGTAATGCACGGTCAAATGTTGCCGATCGATAAGTGTAGATCTCCATCATTCTTGCAACTAAACTGATGAAGCTATTACCGGAAAACGGTGCTTGGCTAATTTAAGCAATCAATTTTTTTCGAGCATTACAAGTCGTATACACCATTCTTACAGCCATTTCACTTACAATGCTAGATATAAGGCGCGAAGGTACTAAGCTAATCACACATCGATTGGTTGTAGTCACCGCTTGTTGCGAAGCCGATGCCGCGTTTTTCACCATGCCACCAGATAACGAAAGTCCAGACTGTGCTCGTCGGTAGTCTATTCCATTATGTTACTTTCAAAGATAACAAAAAAGGAACGTATGTGCGTAGTGAGAACTTGACTGCCTCTTCATCGGCTGTAAGACAAAAGCTTAATTCCTGGGTTCGACTTTGTGACTTGACCGTTTACAGTTACGTGAGCATTGAAACATCTGCTGTCCTGACAATATTAAAAATATGAAAGCATCAGGGTAGGTCAAGTTCACATCCACTAGCACCACAGCTTGCACACACGCAATATAACGCAAAACCCTTTGTTTAGGGCGCCGCGAAACTTCACCTACACTAGTACGTGCAGAGGAAGCTAATCTACTCAACAACTAAGCTGAGTAAAGGGTAAAAAGAGACCTGTATTTATTATAGTTAAGCCATCAATATAAATTTAGTCTGTATCTGACTATATTAATCCACATTGTCGTATGACGACAACCTGCTCACCACTCGTTGCGCGCGTCTAGCAGCGATTGATGGTAATCCATGGTTGATGTGCCTTTCACCAACCAATCTTTGAGCAGCGCATGAATATTATTCTACAAGGGGATAATATTCCTTCAATATTATCCAATAAGGGGATAATATTTCTTCAATATTTTCCATTTCGAGTAATATTGGTAGAACATTGTCATGCTAGACAATCTCCCTTTTACACCGTTTGATGTTATAATAATGTAACGGGCTACCCCGTTACATCACCCCTCCCTTTAACCATCAGTCACCCGTTAATTAAATTTAACTGATTAGGACTTAATGACCACCGTTAGATCACTCCGGAAAGGGAAGCACTTGTTGGTCAAATTTCAACTCATTTGCCAATTTATCGCAGGGTATACAAAGTCCTTGCGATGTGCAGGCGAAGAGATTTCTTCGCTTGCTTCAGCAGCAGGTGATCCTTCACCTGCTGTTGAGATTCAGCAACAGGAAGTGCCTGTTGTGAAAAGTCCACGTGGTGAGTCACCACATGCGAAAAATACATCTGCTGCGTCCCAGCGAGTACCACGAGTCGTAATCCGGATGAGTCTGAAATCGAGCTCATCTATTCTTGCGAGTCAGATGCATCATCCGACTCACAAGAATAGATATGGATCTTCCAGGGCGGAGACTGCAAGAGCCAGGTTGACTAGCTCCAGGAAACATGGCGGCATCATGTCCGAGATCTTTATATCGAGCGCATCCTCGCCTCACGCAAGTCCATCTGACGACAGGACGAGTGGTGATGGTGGTGATGCCCCTATGTATCACCACGAGCGAAGTATCTCGAGAATCGAGCAACCACTAGTGTCAGTGCTCATGCTGACACCACTCAAGAGGTCAGGGACCGAAGTGTCCTGCGCCACACTCCTCGAATATAGTCTTCTCGAAAGCCGTCTTCCAAAGCGTTAGATCGTATGGCCAGTTTGACCACCGAACGGGGTTAAATCCCGTTGTTTTACTGTAGGAATATTCGCCCACCTGATTCTAGCACGGAAACTATCCGTGCTGAGGACGAGATCTTCACCGATGCGTTGTTCAAACATCGGTGGTATAATGGCAACCGTGGTCGAGATGGTAAGGCCTTGGTGCAAGGATGAAATTCCGTCATCCATGACATCGAGTGCATTGGCCGTAAGGCATGGCTAGGTAAACTTGATGAAGCTCCTCTCAGGTATGAAAAGCGCAACCCGGTCGGCATACGGTACAAGATGCACGGACTGTCAAGAGAGGCAGTATTACCCAGTCTCTCGTGGGGTGATTCGTGTCCAGGTTGCCTGGACAGCTCGATCCGTGCCCCTAGGGAAGCCTACCTCCCTAATGATCCCTACTCGAGAGCGCGCATCTCTTCCGAGATGGCCGAAGGGTGACACCTTGCAATCCCTGTACACGCGTTTGGGGAGGTCGTTTTTCGACGACCCTTCTTCGAACGCAGCGGGTAAGTCTCGTCGTACTGCTCGACGAGACCCAGGACATCAACAATCAACTGGGCACGAGGATCCCAGCTCTCCCATGCCGGTTGATAGCCACGCCAGCGGACGAGGTAACTCGTCCGGACGCCATTCCCGTCTCGGTGGTTCAAAATACGCTCCACCAGAAAGCGTTGAGCACCGCCAGAATCCACCAGAGGATGTGGTGGCGGCGGGAACACCTGATCCGGCCCTCGAGGATCGGATCAGCTTGATGTTCAGGAGCTCAACCGTATAACGGAACAGTTACACGATGACCTGGATCATGAACGGACTCGGCGTTATGATCTTCAGGATCTTGTAAAGGATAATTACAATCTCTTCGCGCACGCTCGTTCGAACGGTCGTGCCGCGTTTGAGTTCGAGCAACTTGAGAACAAATTTTGGGCTCGTTTGCTTTGTGACGAGCTGACTGCAGCTCGTCAGGACATCGCTCAACTGCAGCTCATCAGGTTTCTTTGCTAGTCGACCAGACTGGCTCGTTGAAACGGGACACTCGAAGATGGTCTCGGCTCTCGACTGCGGAGGTATTTTTCGCCTCTCGAAACCGGCTCGTACTGGTAGTATGGGCGGAGCCGACCGACGTAAAACGTAGGATGCGTACGCATCTACAAGTCAATTCAATCTTGTATGCGTTGCCCATTCGGCGCAACACACGAAATGGACCGACGTACTTGGGCAGTACTTTACTGCTGCGCACGTTTGTCACTGCGTGTTTTGGTAAATTTACTGTAGACAGTAAAACTAAATCTCCTTCGTCAAATGAAAGAACATCTGCTCTTCCATGTTTTTCTGTGTTTCTTTTCTGTCGGTCTAGTGCATCTGCAATCGAGTCTTGAACGAAGCGGACAACCGCTTCGCGAGTCAGCAGAAATTCCTCTGCTGATTCATCCTTGTCAACAGCAGTTCGCTTCGTGTGCACTGCTGAAAGAACGATGTACTCACCAGTGAGGATGTCATCGTTCTCACGATGGCAGTCATTGTCGATACTGAATATAACAGCATCGTCGTCATCACCATCGTCGATAAGGTTTGTGATCGACATCGGCATCCATCACGTCGACTCCATCGCCGACGCGTGATGAGCAATGACTGGATCGGTTTTCGTTCGAGCGAGTCCACCCCCTCTTAAACTAGATTCAACACTCTAATGAGGCGGGTAAACGTGGATGGCGTAGGCCATTCACGAAGAACGGTGGATGCGTTGTCGACTCTTGCACCGAGTTGTTGATGGTGAATTCCTTCATCAGCAAAAACTCGCTCCAACTCGAAAGCGAGTGGATGTACCCTTGAAATAGCTCTTCGACAACGCTGTCGACGCGTTCCGTCCAACCATCTGTATCAGGATGGTCAGCAGTCGACATCTTCAAACGTGTTTAAAGTGAACGGAACACGGATTGCCAACACTCAGCTGTAAAGGGGGGGGGCCCTATCAGACACGAGTTTAACGTAAAAATTGTGAAGTCGGAGGATAGCATAGATGAAGACACGAGCACAGCCCTGGACTTTGATTGACTACGGTACAAAAACAAGATGTACCATATTGCTGAATATCAACAAACACACGAATACCATTATTCTAGTGAGCGTCTTTGGGAAAACCCAAATACGAAGCTCATCAATAAGGACTGACAACACACTGCCAGAATCGGAAGAGGCTGCAAGGGTGCGCGGGATGAAGGACTAGGCTTCATCCGTTGACAAACTTCGCAAGCGCCAATGTATTTCCGCGCAAACTCATACTGGCGGGGCTAGTAGAAGTCACGACTTACCATAAATTTATTCTTTTCCCTACCGCGATGCCCACTTGTTGGGGCATCGTGACACCCATACATGATGCGCAATCGCAAATCGTTATGAGCGGGAACGACGACACGAGGTGTGTCGCCGTTGACCGCTGTATAGTACAGCAGTCCATCATGAACCGAATACCCTTCGGCTGAAGAGCGGTATTGAGACGACAAGCTTTTCAAAGCTTGACTGCAAGGATTGGATACGTACTCCATCAATCGCAAAAGAGACTCAACTTCTGCGTATGCTTCTTGCACGTCTTCGAGCAGATTAGACAACGGATCACTCACTGTTAGTGTCGCTACAGTGGGACACCCCTACTGGGTCACCCCTACTGTTGGGTTGTGCGGTCGGCTCGAAATCGGGCCGACGCGAAAGGGCATCGGCAACAATATTAAGTAGTCCTGGTTCATACTCGACGGAGAAGTTGTACACCGCGAAGAGAGACAGCCACCTCGCCATTCGTTGCGAGAGGTGTGAACTGTTTACGGTCGTGCGTAACGACGCATGGTCGGTATAAACAATGAAGGGCCTATCTCTTAAGAGACATACCCGAAACTTAGCCAGTGCATAATCATGGCAAGAGGTTCCTTGTCATGCACCGGGTATATACACTCAGCTGCTTGCACCTGGCCTAACTGATAACAGATGACGCGCTCAACGCCGTCTAAGTGGTGTGGCATCAACGCGCAGCCGATCGCAAAATCGCTGGCGTCACAGACTACATGGAATGGTCTGTCCTGATCTGCAATTGCCAACACAATCGATTGTGTCAAGATTTTCTTGATGCCTTCAAAGAAGTGCCGACACTCAGCACTCCATGACCATCTCTCGTTTTGCTTTAACAGACAAGAGAGATGTACGGTCATCTCGGCGTAGTTGCGCGAGTACTTGTGCAAGTACGCCGCTAAGCTAAGGCACTTTCGAAGACCCTTGACGTCGACTGGCACAGGCCAGTCGCTAATAGTCTTAATCTATTTCGGATCAGGGGTTACAACGTTCTTACCCAAGATGCAACCAAGAAGTAGTATTGCTATCGCTGTAAATTTACACTTCTTGAGGTTCGCGAACGACCTTTACTCACGCTTGAGTGTAAAAACTTCCGGACTTAGGGTTTTATGACCATCCACATCCGTCTTTCTATCAGTAGCCCGGCTATGGACGAAGAAATCGACAAAATAACTCGGCTAGAAATCTTGCACCGATCGCAACAGATTCGTAACACATCTGTTGAACGTCAAAGGGGCGTTGCTTAGCCCCTGTGGCATCACTAGCCACTCCCAAAGCTTACTACTGAGGGTGATCGCTGCTGTGTACAGTATGTCCCGTTAGCGCACGAGGATCTAATAGAATCCGTCCATCAGATTCATGGACGACAAGATGGTACTTTTTGCCATACCATCTATGATGACGTTCTTCCCCGGTATCGGTATTTAAGCCGGTACCGTTGCAGCGTTCAATGTGTTGAACGCGTGCACTAACCTCTCCCCTCCTGTGGCCTTTCCCACACAGAAGGTCGGAAACTGCGTGGTGATGTTGGTTCCCTCACATGACCAGCCAGCTGTGACCTGTCCACGAGGCAGTGGCCACTGCTTAATGACACTGTCTTTCAAACCATGTTCCAGTTCGACCTCATGCCTAGTGCTTTTGTCACTGAACAGCTCAAATGGCTCGGATTCCGAAAAAAAACCTGAATCTCACCAAATCCTTATGCAAAGGATATGTCTTTAAAGACTCCCAAGATTAAGGCGTGTATCGCTCAATCCGGGTCTTTTCATCGAGGACACTCTCGTCCATAGATGAACTACTGATTACTAGTTCGTTCTCAGCAAAAAGTTGTGCCGACCGAAAATCGGCGACGTACTCGTCCTCTGTGACGAGTACGCAGATCTGCTTGATCTTGTCACGACGCAGATCTCGCAAGAATCTTTTAGATTCTAGCGTTGGCAAATTAATTACCTCCGAAGCTGACTCCAAAGGTGTAACCAGATCAAGTGCATGAGCGTTGACATTAAATCCGTCATTCACCAAAAAATTCGCTGTCTCAGTACTTTCGTGGGAAAACACATCCGCAGGTGGGGATCTACACCCTCAACATGACTCTCTCGATAGTTATCACTCTCAGGAACGCTGAAATTTTCTTCCATTACGTGTACTATCACGGTCACATCCTCTTCGATCGACTCTCTTTAAGTCAATCGTGTTTGCTTTGCGATCGACTCTCTCCTAGTAAATCTCGCTTTAACATGTTGTTCATCCTGAACAACGTTAGTTAATCTACTTGAATACACCATTCTTGGTCTGCATCGTTGTTCAATTCCACTCTATATCCTCGAGTGGTGAACCTTCGGCGCATTGTATGTCTCTACACAGGTGCCGGAATCTGGTTCCGCAGTGTAGTGGCCTTCTACACTGCGATCTTGTGCATTCATACTAACGACCGTACCACAAGTGAGGCCATCACACTCACTCGTAGTATATTCGCACGCTTTGGACGTTCCAAGACGTTCATCACATGTCCATCTGATGAACAAATGGCGGGCATCTTCACGGATCAACTCTGCCAGCTGATCCATGGCTGGTACCATCTAAACCACGGCAGACCGAAAATGACATCAAATTTGTCATCCAAATCCAGTACGATGAAGTCATCATCGTACTTCTTTCCTTCTAGCGTGTAGTAAATTCCCACTACACATTTGTTCAATGTTACGGATGCGCCTGTAGCAAGGAACACCGTCATCCTCGGGAACTCTCGCTCAACATAGTCAAGTCTACTATCTTCTAGCGGCTCATGGCGATTAGAACTGTTCGACGCCCCACACTCAACAAGGGCGCGAAGTGACATTCCACTTGTCACTTCAATCTTCAAAGTGATGAGAGAAACCTCATCACTAGGGGCTGTGACACACAGCGACTATGTGTTGGGAGCAATCTTCGTCAAGAGTCCTACAAATTCTCTTGACGTTGCTGGATCAGCAGGGTGCTTCTCACCTACTGACCCTGTCCGTTTTTGGCGGTCTGACTTACCGTTGCGGTTTAGCGACATGGTCAGACTCGCGCCTTGGATCTTTCCTTGGCCAAAGGAGGTCACCACGTCCTGTCTTTGGACGTGATGCGGTGCTCGGGACACTACACTCATGGACTTAGTGTTCAATCTTCTTACAGCTATGGCATCTTGCCGTTCGCCTGTGACTTAGAGATTAAGAGTTCTTGCTCTTGATATGCCAGAGGTCCATAGGTTCTGGACCTCCTGTACCCTGTTGTCTCGTCGGACGATAGTTTGACGAAATAGTCTGAGAATGTCTCAGAATAAATTCTTCTTATTCGCATACGCTATCGCCTATTCCAGCGTATGGAAGTCCTCTCGGAACATGTAGGTCTTCACCGGTCCATCTATAAGGCCGTAGATGAACACGTTGATGAGCGTGTGCTCATCAGCAGGATTTACGTGACGATACTCGCTAGGTAGCGCA